CTTTTTTTAGTTCACATGTATGAATATAACTGAAAATTAATAAAAGATTTTTATTATTATTATTATACAAATTCCACAAATCTATGTTTTTTCAGGTTCGTCAAAAAAGTTTTTATCATCCCTGTATGATAAAGTTCATTTTGAAGAGTTATTTTACTAATTCGAGTGTACTATTGCGACTAGAATAAAATGAAATTGTTTAATATGGGTCTGTGTAATATTTTAGAACCTAAAGATGGCAAAAGATTGATATGTACGTTGTTGTTTACAAATGAAAAATATTTCGATTTGAGATAATGGGATGGGAAAATATGCTGCTATTTGATTGAATTGACTAAACTTTTCCAAAAATGGTAATTTGTCTGATGTTTGTTCTATAATGAAGGCAAAGGTCTCTATTGTACGTAAATTTTGACTCGGGGTTCGACCAGGTATATTTGAATTTATTATTTGAAAATATTACCGGTTTTATAACAGTGAGTGTGGTACTACCTATAGCTACCAACGTAACTTTTGCAGGAGAAAATATTCACCAATTCTTAATTTTTTTGTGTAAGTGTGTTTCGGCGAACAACAACCCCTGAAATTCATCTGGTGAGTAAAACAGAGCGATGTACATTGAAAAAGAGAAAAAGAAAAGTCATATCAAGAATAATGTGTACCTATATACAATTTCAACTGTGTGACTAGAATATTTTTAAAATTTTCATAAATATTTATTTACTCCAGGGGTTCTTAAGCTTCTTTGCAAACCTGAAAGAAGTGATTTTGAAGATATAAAAGCTGAAAGTTTCGCCCTCTAAAAATTTCAAGAACACTCAAAAACATTCTACACTATTCGAAAGCACACCACTTTCCAGAATATCCCGGCACAATGAAAGTTTCTGTTTTCACCTGAAGATATAGGGAGTGGAAGTTTCGCCTTATAGACATTTCTAGAACACTCCAGAACATTGAAAAATGTTGGAGAGCATTCTAAAACATTCCAGAACATCCCGTAACATTCTGGAATGGATATTTATAGGAGACATTTTTTTTAGGAAGAAAGGTTTTTGGTTTCCTACTTTTCCATCATAAAAAAATGTGGGAAATTCTAGTATTTTTTTTATATTACATAGGAGACTGGTGTTTTAGTGAAATGAGTATTGGTTATAAAGTATATATTGTGAAGATTTATAATTATTATCATGAATAATGGCCAAATTGTAAACATTGATGTATATTGTTGATAATTTTCATCAAGTGACTGGTTAGTGTTTTAAGAAGCACTTGCGTCAGACAATTTCGCTGCACGTATACTTATCTATTCTTTTCACACTATCGATAGTCATTTATGATGCAAGGTGATACAGTTCAAGTGACTGATTTGACTTCTCATTGTTTAGGTATAAAGAATTACAGAGTTGAATGAACTGACTATGTTGAAATACCGGGTGGCAAATATTATGGAAAATAAATCAAGTACATACCCTTCGAGGCGTGTTCAATGAAATAAAAGACAATCAGTAAATTTTTCCCAAATAGATATTGAAGTATTACGAACGATGGAGAAATACCTGTTCAAACCTAGTATCCATTGGAGTACCCCAAGGACCTGTACTTGGACGCCTGTTGTACAACATTTGCCTAGCGAAAATGGAAGATACTTTTTTGCAGGTGACACCAAATTCTCCATTGAACCAAACTCGAAAGCCTTAGAAATCTGGGAAGATCTGGAATTTGTTAAAAAATTTGACCAAAAATGACTGAATGAGCTGTACCATATATCGATTCAAACAATCGGAAAATGCAGTATAGGCTAAACATGTTCCCAGACAGGTCAGTTACTTTGCAAAAAGATTGAGGATTTATCGTGATCCCTGACCTGAAATGGTCCAGTCACATCGTGGCTATTTAAGAAAATAACTCCATTTCCTACATGTCGTTCAAAAACATGACCTACATGCCGTACCAATATGGAACTCTTACTTTGTTCATGAAATATATGCCTTTGAATAGGAGATTGAACAAAACTGAGCATATACATGAGTGATCTGGCGTACAAACAAAGATTAATAAAAAATAAAACTGGAACGTTTCGCTTGGAATAAGTCCAAAACAAAAACTTCTCCAATCACCAGAACTATAATACTCTTTGTTTGAAGGTGGTTGGCAGTGTTTCATGGTGAATTTCATTAGTTCGGACTTCCATTGTCTAATATGCTATAATATGATTTGAAATCGCTGAAAAAATAAATAACGTTGAGAATTAAAATGAATTGTTGAAACTAACAATTATATGTATTAGGCAAAAACCCTGAATTGAAATTACAATAAAATAAAAATTAAGCAAAAAATTGAAAATTGAACAATTAAAATGAAATGAAAATAAAAATCAAAAGAACCCATATATTTGCAACAAAACTTCGGGATCCATAATAATTGGGAAGTGACTTTCTTTCCGTTTAATGATTATTCAAAAGATGTATAATGTATTTTTTACATTTTCAAGATTTCAACATGGTGAGTGATGATAAAAAAGGACCTGAAGAAGGATCTGATGGAAAGGCGAACTATAACCTTCTTCAAGGAAAATTATTAACAAGTCCGGCACCTGGAGAAGAAATCGTGATATCAGGTAAATATTTCAGTTTTTCATTCCTGAAAACACCACTATGAGGTGAAGACAAGTTCTGGAAATAAATAACCACATGCGAATAGCAAATATTACTTTCAGTTTACAGTCAACTTTTTTTATAAAAAAACAATTAACCTATATCAAATCATTCAACCTTTCACAAGATGAAATTTTCTTCTGCAGTTAAAAATCAAAGCGTCTATTTCATAAGTTTCACTTGACATAACTGTTTCACGACGCGTTCTACTTATTATTTTGCGAGCTACTGTCTTTGAAAGAGATCTGACGGCTTTCGGAAAAAAACACTTGAGGGTTGAGGGGTGACAAATGTTTCAAAAAAAGTGAAAACTCTGGCAGATATTCAGCTCTATGGAAGAACTTCTTCCGGAAACGCCTCACAAGACACCTACTTACCAAGACACACATTCGTGTGGCCTCGAACAAAACTTGAAATGTATGAAGTTATCAAGAGATAATATAGGTTACTGCCTTATTTGAAATAAAACACAGCTAATGACTTAACTCCTGAAGGCTAACTTTTTCAGTATTCGTTTAATAATTAATTACAAAAATATTGGCTACAGAGAGTACTGAACCTCTTATGGAAACTCACTTCCCAGGTTTTGTCTTTCCTGGAACGACGAACTGGACGGACATACCAACAACACCCTCACAATACGACTAGCAATCTGCTGGTGCAGTAATTGATGAGGATAAGATAAGACGGGCCATATCGGACTTTTCCCCCTTCAAGTCACCAGGACCTGACGGTATAAGACCAGTCCTACTTCAATGGGGAAAAGATGTTCTTATGCCGCACCTGGTGGGAATATTCAGAGCCGCTCTAGCTCTGAGGTATATTACCAGTAAGTGGAGTACGAGTAGTATTTATACCCAAACCAGGTAGGATGGACTACACATTACCAAAAGCATTTCGACCAATTAGTCTTACATCGTTCTTTTTAAAAACTATGGAGAGGCTATGTGTGCGGTACATAAGAGATGAAGTACTAGTTCACAACCCACTTCACCCAAATCAGCATGCATATACTCCGGGAAGGTCTACTGATTTAGCCCTTCACCATGTGGTTGGCAGAATCGAAAGATCATTTGACAACAAAGAATCCACCCTGAGTATATTCATCGATATCGAGGGAGCGTTTGATAAAGCAACCTTCCTAACAATTACCTAGGAATGCACCTCTGGTAGTAGGAGAATGGATACTCAAGATGCTCTCTAGTAGAGAATAAGTATCAATGTAGAAGACATCACAGTGAGAGGACTGGTCATGAGGGGATGTCCACCCCTTCTTTGAAATATAGTTCTGGATACCCTAATTAATTACCTCAACAATAATGGATTCTACACAATTGCATATGCAGATGACATAGTTATCATGCAGAGAGGCAAATTTGTGAACACACTGTGCGATAGAGCGCAGGATGGGCTCAAATTAATAGAAACATGGTGTAAGGAACACTCACTGTCGATCAATCCCAAGAAGACTGAGATGGTCGTTTTTACCAGGAAAAGAAGTTTATCGGGCTTAAAACCTCCCGAAATCTTCGAAAGCAAAATAAACTTCTCTGAAGAGGTGACACACCTTGGTACTATCCTCGACAGAAAGCTAACATGGAACTCTCACCTACAGAGTAGAGCAAAAAGAGCATATGTGGCTTATGAGCAGTTGGACGCGCATGGGGTCTTTTTCCTCATGTGGTCACCTGGAGCTACACTATAATAATAAGACCTATGTTAACGTACGGAGCCATTGCATGGGGACAGAAAGTTCTACAAGCAACGGTCATCCAAAAATTATATCAAATTCAGCGATTGGCTTATTTAAACATCATAGGAGCCATGAGAACAACACCAACCGCGGCAATGGAATTAATTACTGGTCCGATCCCTCTGTACCTGTATGTTAAGGATGCGTTAATGGCCATGTTACGATTGCGCACGGCTGGTGTAAACCTCGAAGTAGGAATGGGTCAATTGAGGCTGAGCCTCTGGTGAGAAGCGATTACTGCGCAACATCTGCTGCAGGCAACCAGTGATGCAATTGAACCCAAATTTGTGTTTAATAAATCCTATAAAACATAAATAAAACAGAACACAGAGTCAGATGCTAAAAATGCAATACGCATATATACAGACGGCTTAAAAACCAAAAAAGGCTCAGGATATGGAATCTATCCCAATCGCCACAAAAGAAATAACCAGGTAAGGAATTTCTGGCAAAAACATAACAATCTGCACTGATAGCAGACAAGCCCTATTAGCCTTGCAGAGACAACGTGTTACGTCAGGGCTAGAACTAGAGTACCACTAAGATTCAGCCAAAGCCTCGTTAGATAATAACATCATCCTGAGGTAAATTAAAGGGCACGACAGGAGTAAAGGTAATCGCTTTGCCGACTCTTTAGCCAAGGAAGCGGCTGGTCTAAGAATTTTAGAACCCAGTGGCACCTACGGCCTGATGACTTCGACAATTGCGGAACTAGCGAAAAGTCACACCCATGCTCAATCCCTAAAGAGATGGGATGAAATCAAATGATGACCATTTATGGTCACCATTTGTGACCTTTTATTCAAATAGGACCATATCATAAAAAGTAATTCATACCGACTTATCGTCAATAAGAGAGTGTGTGTTCGGCGAGTCTTGGCCTACATCTGCCGATATGGAGGAGATGTTTCCCAGAGACCTGTCCACCTTCCTGGAAAGGACAGGATGGACGAAGACCTAGGAGCACAACTCCTTGGGAGGATGAACAATGGGTCACATGTGGCCCAAGTGCTGTGAGTGTACACTCCTCCGTATCCTACAGATACAGATTGGCTACAGTATTGTAAAATGTAATTTTCATTATTATAAATGTTGGGTATAATTGACAGTTGGCTTTTTCTTGAATTGACAATACGATCACATTCTAGGAGCTGCTGGTGCGTTTCCTGCCTCTCGAACAATCGAAGAATTCAAAAATAATCTAATGAATAAAGTTACTATGGTAACTCCAAATAGAAGATGGGGAAACATTCATGCTGAAATACCACTCTGTTCTGGAACTTTACCGGTAATCGAAACTTTTGATGCGGGTTTCTTTGGTGAGTCGATTAAACTATAAGGAACTAAATTCTCAGAAATGTTATTGCATTAAAACGAAAACATTTGATTCTGAATATTTTATCATAATTTTTTCTCATCTGTTCAGTATAATTTTCGTACGCCACTGTAAGAGACAGATTAAGGAAAAAAACTCAGTCAGTCATTTCTGAGAATTTAGTGCCCACTATTTTGAAATTATAATATAATACAGTACTGTTTTGATACCTATACGAATACCTATTACGGGTTTAAGGGCATTTTCGTTCAATAAAAAAACTTTTTGAGCAAAAGTATTTTATAACGACTACCGAGATTTACCTATTTTGTAGAAAAATATTTTTTTCTAGTCAAGATCATGTTACTGCTATAATCAGCAAACCATATTTTGCCCTGAACAGAAAAATGCATTAATGGAAAAGTAATTTGGCACTACTCGGAAATAAAATGTTATTCACAAAAAAAAATCATTTGTTCCATACGAAAAATACCTATATAGGGCGTTCCAACGAAAACTTGACACCCCTATAAGTCAGAAACGGTCGTGTAATCGAAAATTTCAAAGAACACGTCAATTTTTATTTCTAGGGGGACTAATTCTGATATGGAAATAATTTCCGAATCTTCACCCCACTGCGGTCAGCAACTACCCCCCTATTTTTTCAATGGCATGGGGTGTCGAGTGATACATCATTTGAAAGGTCTTTTGTCTCTCTATTACATCTGTAATTTTTTTTCGGAATTGGTTCATTCGTTATTGAGAAATCAGATGTTGAATGTTTCATTTAAGAAAAAACAGAAAATTCGCTGTCGTTCATTTTAATGCGGAAATCAACAACAAATAATATCAGTGGAAACAAAATTAACGGATGAATTGTTCGAAATGACCTCCACCTAGTTCCATACAATAATACAGTCTACTCTCGAAAGCGTTCCGTACATTATTCAAGATGTCCGGAGTCAGCAATCAGCATTCCCGAACAATTTTCAGTCGCAGGTTTTCTAGATTTGTAGGCTTAGTACACTTTTGACTTCAGGTGTCCCCACAGAAAGAATTCCATCGGAGTGAGATCAGGTGATCAAGCTGGCCACTCCACTGGACACTTTCTGCCGATCCAACTCATTGAAAAACGTTCGTTCAAAAATTGTCTCACTCGAACATCGTGGGGGTGCATCATCCTGCAGGAATGTTATTTCATTTTCTACTAAATTGTCATCATTTTTAAAAATTTGTGTAGTCATAGGATCTACTCTTGTAATATATTTAAGTATGCGTCTCCATTGAGATTACCTTCAATGAAGAATGGTCCAACAATATGATTATCAAGAATGCCGGCCCAGACATTCATTTTTTGTGAATGTGTTTCCATCACCAAATGAGGATTCACGTCGCTTCGGTAACGACAATTATGTCTATTCACTTCACCATTCAACATGACAGAACTTTCATCTGAAAAACATGTATAATAGGTTTGGTTCATTGGTAAATTTCTCGCTGAACACCTCACAAACCTGAAGTCGACGATCAGTATCATCTTCGTTTAATTCCTGAACTAGCCTTATTTTGAAAGCATGGAAGTTGTAGGCTTTTAAAATCCGAAAAACATTAGTAGCTGATACACCAGACGCTCTAACTACTTGTCTGATGAATTGTCGATTATCCATTTCTGACAGGATGGGATACTTCATGTTTTCTATTGTGAACAGAACCTGAAGTTCGAAACTTATAAATTAATTGTTTAACGTATTGATGACTCAGGTTGTGGTCTGGATGATTCGTATTATAAATTCTTGCAGCAGTTTTAGCACATTAATTATTTGGATGATTGGTTTCAACAATTTCAATTTTTTCTCCAGTAGAATAAACCATGTTGAAACACAGTGAACAAGAATGACTGAATAATAATTCGTGAAGAAGTGACAGTGGCCAACTATCTACTTTTTGTTCTGCGACAACTAGATTCAACAAAAACTACCAGTGCAGAAAAAACTAACAGTGTCGTCCATTTCAAAACGTTTACTACTAATTAAATAAATCCAACAAATCTAGAGGACCTGCGGCAAAGAATAGTTCGGGAATGTCGATTTATGACTCCGGACATCTTCAATAATGTAAGGAACGCTTTCGAAAGTAGACTGTATTATTGTATGGAACTGGATGAAAGTCATTTTGAACACTTTATCCGTTGATTTTGTGTTACCATTGTTATTACTTCTGTTGATTTCCTCAATAAAATGCGCGATAACGAACGAAACGTTCAACATTTAATTTCTCAATAACGAATAAACCAATTTCGAAAAAAATTACAGAAGTAATAGAGGAATGAAAGATCTTTCAAATGATGTATCACTCGACCTCCATACGCCATTGAAAAAAATAGGAGGGTAGCTAGTACCGGAGGGGCGGTGAAGTTTCGGGTATGATATCCATATCAGAATTAGTTTCCCTAGAAATAAAAATTGACGTGTTCTGTGATATTTTCGATAACACGTCCATTTTTGTTTTACAGGGAGGTCAATTTTTCGTTGGAACGCCCTGTATATTTCAAATAAATGAGATATGTATTCCCAACTGAACTGTGTTTTCTGCAAAAATAGCCTAAAAACTTGGTTCACTTTCGGTAGATGAAATTTCGTATAAAATCATGGGGCCAAACTATAAAATTACACTACACCACTGCAATTACTAAAGTTATTATCAGGATATGTGAAACTTTTGTGATTAGATAAACCAGTTCCAGCTAACTTTCATTAATGAATAATATTGTTGTTCAAAATGGGACAAGATCAATTAACTTGTAAGGAATCACACGTCAAAAGGTAAGACCTCGTTAGTCCTTAGCTCGCACAAGTTTCTCAACTTCTGAGAATTGTCGTGTATGGGGGCGACAGCTGATTAACGGAAAAAGAGATTTTAAACAGATTTTTTGAACAAATCAGAAACTGGTAATTTATTATATTTTTGAATTTCCTCTTTGATTTCCTGTTGACTTCTCATCAGTGACATTCTAACAAAATTGTAAAAAAAAAATAGTTTTTTCCAGAAATATTTTATAAATTATTTGATTTTAAAATACACAGGAATTCATGAAAGACTAGGGCAATGGCAGGACACAATGAGTAGATTGATTTTGGAAAAAACAATGGAGGCTATTTTCGACGCTGGACTTCATCCCAGTGAGTTGGAGAATACTAAAACCGGAGTATTTATTGGAACATGTTTCAGTGAAAGTGAAAAAACAATATTTTTTGATCAACAGTTACCACAGAGATATGGCTTTCTTGGGTAAGTGTTTTGATATTCGTTGCATCAGTAGATTGTTAGTCTAGTTGCTAGAATTCATACAATGAATAACTACATAAGATAGAATTGGTCGATACTTCAAAATACTTCACAGAATTGCAAAAAAAGATATAATAACGTGTACAATCAAGCACGAGGAAGATATTTTATATTGATACAAACTGCCGTTTTGTAAACTGTTTCGTGAAAATCTCACAATGAAGTGTTTTTGATCAAATAACTCGTAAACATTTTCTCATCACAACTAATGATTTTTATTGTTTGTTTTGCATATGTCGCATTCAATATAACAAATGAAAATAGTTTTGTTTCGTCTACAAAAAATAAATAATGAATACACCTTATTAGTCATTTGAAACCTAAAACTATTATTTTATAAATGTTACAAAACCTTGTTTCGAATATCCTAAATTGATTGAATCATTGAATAAATTTCATATTGAAACATAATTGAAAAGTTATGGGTGAAAAAATGTGGTGAAGGGTTAGTGATTTTCGATCGATTAAAGATGTTTCGAAAGATACGTATATCTGCTCCAACCATTTTTACGAGTTTCAGTTATCTAATTCATAATTATTGGTATCCTGAAAATATGACCTTAAGTTTATCTTCAAAATTTCGATTCCTCATATTGCCAACATTTGTTATTGGTGATCAATTTCTATTTTAATTTCAAAATTTCTATGCTAGTGGTGAAAATGAATTGTCATAGTTTATTGAGATAATTTCAGTCAAACCGATAAAATGATGAAAAAATTGAAGGCTACCAAAGCCATCTTGTTGATGCTACATCTGTCAAATTAGTTGTCATTTATTCATCCTGTTTTGCCAAATCACTATGAGCTTCTAACAACACGTGCAAATAATAAAATTGCAAAACTTAAAATAATGACCCTATACCAGTTATTGTCTATGAAAATCTGCTTCTGTTCAACAAAACTTGATGAATAAAGTTGCTCATAAGGGTGAGCAACTAATAGGTTGCACAGCTAATAGGTTGATAAGAACAGATAATATAGGAATTAAGCTATATAATGCCTTATCTGTCGAAGTTCGTAACTTGCCATTCAGAAGATTCAAAAACTTATTGAAGACAATGTTAACTAAACATCCTTTATATGAAATTGATCAATTTTTCGAAGTTATTCAAGAAGAAAGAGACACTTTTGTGGTCACCTCCCGAACTTTTACTCAACTTTGAATATATATAATATGTTAGATATGTGATTTATAATTTGTAAAGCTCGTCCTACGAGAGGACTATTTGTAATTTGGTGGACAAATTTGAGTCCACTGGTTCAGTAAACGATTGACCATTTCCCGTTCGTCGACAAAACGTAAGATCGGCCGAAAACATTGCCGCTATCTGTGAGAGTGTGCAGGGGAATCCGAGGTAGTCGATTTCGTGTCGCTCACAAAAACTCGGCCTTTTGCAGACCACAATTTGGCAAATTTTGTGTTGTGAGTTGGGCCTGCACCCAGGAGCTGAAGGTATACCAACATAGACAACGACGTGTGTTCGCTGAATAGGCCCTGGAGCAGTTGGCAACAGGCCCTAATTTTCATCGAAAAATCTTCTTCAGATATGAGGCCTATTTCTTGATTATTGGGTATGCTAACAAACAAAATTGTCTAATTTGTGATGGTACCAATCCACATGAGATCCAAGAGGAGCGCCCAATGCTTCCCGAAAAAGTCACTGTTTGGTGTGAATTTTAGGCTAGCGACGACATCGGTCCATATTTCTTTGAGAAAAAAAAAATTGATGATGTGCACACCAACGACCTGTGGTTTCAACTTGATGGCGCTACGTGCCACACATCTCATGTGCCACATTGGATATTCTGCACGAACAATTCAAGGGTACGGTCATCTCACGTGGACGTGATGTGAACTGGCCATCGAGATCGTGCGATTTGACCCCGTTAGACTTTTTCTTGTGGGGTTTTCTTAAGCGACAAATCACAGCGGACTTTAAAGCCAACATGAATCATGTCATCGGTCGATTTCAGTCTGATTTATGCGCCAGAGTCATATAAAATTGGAAGTTTCTGATGCGCTCCACCCAGAGAAGCTGTGGCGGACATTTGAGCAATTTTATATTTCACAAATAATGACATGAAAAGGTCCTTCAAACGAATAAAAAACACACACTTTGTTTTATTTACATTTGAAGAGAAGAAGCGCCTAATGAAAGACTCTATACAAGAGACCGAAATAGAAAGCGTCCTACGCACTCGTGGGTTTACTCGAATCATGCTGGCTGCTCTCATGATATTGCAGTGTTTGAGTTGAAAATGTAAGAATATCTTGCAGTTTTTTTTTCGATAATTGTAGGACAAATGCCTGTCGTGAAGCACCAGTACAAAATATAACTTATTAAACGATGTATGACGCAACATTTCTCTTACATTTGGGAATAATGAGCTTAATTTATATTAAGGTATCTTATAAATGGAAACGAATATTTAAAATAGCATTCGAAGAAAATACCACTACAAAATACAGAACAAAGAATATATAGAACATGAGCATCCAGAGACTAAATACAACAAAAGGCTACTTTTAATTCATAACAGTTGTAAGTACAAAATTGATTGAATACAAAAGATGTATACCATAAGCATAAGTTCTAGAAAAAAGTATCGGAGTCGAACCCAATTCAATTTGTGGATAAACCAATTTGACTTGGTTTTTTTGTATTCAATTTTTTCCTTTTTCCTTATACATTTTCTGTAACAGAGTGTATATCTGTCATAAATTAAGTAATATCTGTCTAACAATTATTTTTATTTACAGAGTTTCCAGAAATATGTTGGCTCATAGGATTAGTTATCACCTCAAACTGAAAGGGCCCTCGTTCGTAACAGATACAGCCTGCAGTAGTTCTTTGTATGCTCTCGAACATGCATTCCGGTCACTGAGGCTGGGCGAGGTTGATACTGCAATCGTGGGAGGAATTAATTTGTGTTTGCATCCTCTTGTTTCTCTGCAATTTGCTAGGTGAGTCGAATATTTATGTTAGATATTGAATTTACCTTTATTGATAATAAAAATATTCATATACCATTCAAAAAAGTATTTTTTCCACTCAACACGGCTTCTGATCAAGAAAATCCACCATAACTGCCATCACAATAGGGAATTTAACTGCCGATCACAGGATCTTGTTAAATAAAATGTATTCGTATGGCATTAGGGGTATGCCTTCAATTAGATTGAGCCTTTTACTAAAAACAGAAAACAGTTTGTTTCAGTAGGTATATATTCAAATCCAGGACTCAAATTTTGAAAATTGTTCTGACATTGAAATAAATGCCACCAACAGCCAACTAACCTCAAAATTATCATCTATTACATATTTGATAAGAAATCTCGAAATGATTTTGACCAGTGAACAAATATTGAATTATTACCATGGCCATGTAGACGATATTTGTCGTGGAGTTTTCAGCTTCTGGCAAAACGAATATCGTCCGAAAAGAGGAGGAGAAACGGATAAAATATCGAGATGTTCTCTTCGAACTCCGCAGACTCTATCCAGACCACTCTGTCAAGATGGTTGTTCTGATTATTGGAGTCCTTGGAATGACGCCCTCTCTACTCTGGAATCTTAAAATCATACCGGCTTGCCGCATTAAGGCAGAAATCTTAGCCGGACAGATGCAGAAGGCGGACAGAGCATTCTTGGCTCACTGGGATTGGTCAGGGTACATGATTCTCGGGCCCAATGATCACTCACCCCACGGTGTGAGGGGTGGTCGTTGGTTGATAATGCTGGCGCGCCCCCTCCCTGAATGTATCGGGGCTTCAGGGGATATGGCCTGATCAGCGCATACTACGGTAAAAAATAATGATAATAATAATAATAATAATTCGTCTTTATTTTCCCTCTGTACATAAAATAGGCGAAGTTTAGCCTAAGGCTATCCTAACACTTAACCTAAGTTGTACAATTGAATAGTAATGTATTACAAAAGCATTCTTATTAAAATACAAAATATGTTCATGAAATAGTGATCTACTATAATACCACAGTTATCAAAACCTCTAAAATAGTAAATAATTTGTAAGTAATGGGTTTATTATATAATTTATCCTGACTGTTTGACAGCTAAATAGGTGAAAGATTTCTGAAAGAGGGCTGAAAAATGATGTGGTACATGCAAATAATATTTGTTCCTTACATCTAATGAAGGCAGAATCGACCTGTATAGAGTCGAAGGAATTTTGCATTTCATCATTTTATACAGTAATAAAACATAAATTATACTGTCTACGGTTAGACATTGTCAACATCTCCATAAATGAATCTCGAAAGAACCAAATTTACGTATCGATTGATTCAAGCAATGCCTATGGGCATAAATCGACCTCAAATTATTGTTATTGGTTTACTTTTGTTTCTTATGAATGTTGTTGGGCGCCGACTAGCTCCGGAGTTTTGATTGAATAACAATACAGAAATTCGGTTTATTTTTAATCAAACAGTGTGAACGCCATTTCACAATTGTCTCGAATTACTTCCCGAATGCCATCAAACACCGACTGTTATCCAAGGGTCCGCTACCTGCTTCGCATGGGTAGGGTTGACAAAAAACTATACGGCGTTGCCGAATGCGGTTTCGCAAGAATATTGAAAAGCATAATGTAAGTAATTTAACTAAGGGCAACACTAAAACACGCCCCCCCTCTAGAATGGGTTCACGACTGTTTGATTTTTTTCTTTATTAAACAACAAACGCAAATCAAAATGTTTCAGACCCTAGTTACAAAACGTGAATTGTACAACAATAAAAAAAAGTTTTCAATTTCAATTAACATTAGAACAAAACATCTATCATCAACACCTTATGTCCTTTTCATTCTGGTTCATTAAAAACATTTTCACTAAATATATCTTTGGTTTATAAAAAGCTTCACCAATACTAGTAAGTTATCGTCACAAGAATGGCAATAATCCTAATTGCCACAAATAGCGGAGCAATTGACACAACATGGAATGGATAATTGTAACTGATAATAGTAAATTTTCACATAGTAGAATAATTTTTCACATTCAACGGTATGTTGTCACATATTAGGAACATTGTGGTCATATCTGGGGAAAACGTTGTCTGTATATCCATCTAACAACCGAGGTATGGCTGGGGAGATTCAACTTATCCATCTGATTCACCAATAACTTACGTCAGCTCATCCGTCTGGCGAAAGTAGCATACTTTAGTCGCAACTCGGGACAGCACACACTTGTGCTGTATAGGAAGGCAACTCCAATGGAAAGGACTTTGTAATATTACTCCGGTACTATTACTCCGATCTTCATCTTCTAGGGTGGTAACCATTCAGATTACTGGGATAAATCATCGTCCGATGAAAAGTTATCCTGGAGAGACGGGTAAAAACAGTGGTAGTTATTCTCAATTTCGGGGTCATGGTCATCATAGGTCATCTGTATGTCACTTTGGGTAATATTGTCGTCAATATCGGAAGGAAGTTCACTGGAGATCTCGACATCTTGAGGTAAGACTTCGTCTTCGTGATGGGAACTATCTTCATTCAGAAGTTCATCTTCAGTGTCCGTTGTCGCCGAAGGAAGACGACGGATGTTGTTTACATGGAACTTTAGATGAATTCCATCACGAATTATGGTGTAGACGTTGTGGGAGTGTTTCTGTACCACCTCACAAGGGCCGACCCAAATCGGATGGAAAGCATTGTCAGAACAGGCCTAGTTTCTCGAGTCATCACTTGCTCTCCTGGTTCGTAAGTAGGGGTTTTCGTTTCCTTCTTCTGTGCGTAACGGGACTGGTAGACTTTCTGATGCTTACGGATGGCTTCTATCCGAGTATCACGGGCACTTCCTTGGTTGACAATCGGTACCCGGTTGCGAGGATAATCCCAATCCCTGGTTGTTGAGGCTTGTAGCCGAGTAGAGTTACTGCGGGTGGTCGTCCAGTGGCAGCGTTAGTTCGACACCTAGGCGCAAAAAGGACGCGGGACAGCCACTTATCCCACTCTTTGGGGTGTTTGTTTATCATAAATGCTCGTAATGTATGTTTCAGTTCTTGATTTCGTCTTTCGACGGGGTTTGCTCTAGCATGAAAAATTGCAGTCGTTACATGTCTAATTTGGTATTTTTTACAGAAATCACCCCAAAGATTTGAAATAAACTGCGGCCCGTTGTCCGATATTAGTGTTTGGGGATAACCAAAGCGGGGAAATACGTCTCCGTCGAGAAACCCTAACCGATATAGATTCTAGCCATCTCGAAAAAACATCCTCAACTACAATGATGAAGCGGTTTTGTTTTTTTGATCTAGGATAGGGGCCCATGACATCTACACTTATTATTTCCCAGGGATTCTGGGGACTATGAGAGTCTAAAGGGGCAAGGGGCTGACTAAAGGTTTTGACCGAACGACAAACCATACAGTTATGTACGTATTTTGCTACATCTTTATACATTCGTGGCCAATAATAACCAGATGCTATCTGGAGATAAGTCTCATCACGCCCAGGATGCCCGGCAAATTCCGTATCGTGATAATGGTGAAGTATTCGGAGTGAAAAAGTATTGGGGACAACCAGTTGTTTATCACGTGTAAATAAGAGAATATCTTCGATGTAAAATTTATTGAAAAATAACAAATCCCTTTTTGATTTGGGGCCATTTTCATGAATATGGTCCTAATGACACCGTTTTTCCTGCATATGTGCATCATACAGCTGAGTTTGTCTGGCTTGTTCATAAATAGATGATTCGTCAACTGGGGCGAGAAATTGGACAACGATTTCATCAGGATTCTCTTTGATTATGGATACGTTTTCAATTGGTGAGGGATGAAATTGGCTACTCTCAGGGGAAAACATGCGCGATACATCATTAACCTCTTCAGGTACGTCACTCTCACTTGGGTTGCGAGATAAAAAATCAGCAAATTGATTTTGTGACCCTGGACAATGTTCTATGTCAAAAGAAAACTCAGAAAGAAGTAATGACCATCGCATTAGTTTCGATTTTGTGTCAGAATTCTTGTTCAACCAAGTGAGAGCACGACTATCCGTAACAAGAGTGAAGTGGCTATCTTCTAAATATGGGCGATACTTTTTATTGCCCAAATAATGGCAAGACATTCTTTCTTATTAATGTTAAGGCGAGCACTAGCATGTGAGATAATGCGTTTACCACCCTCCTGATTCCGTTGGTATAGCACCGCTCCGATGCCTATGGCACTGGCGTCGGTCTGTAAGGTAAATGGAAGTGAAGTATCGGGTCTATGTAGTGCAACAGGCTGGGAAGCTGCAAATTTGACAGCTTCGAATGCTGTTTGCTCCCTATCATCCCATCTCCATTTTACATTATTACTTAGCAAATCGGTTGATGGGGCTACCAGTTCTGATAAACGTGGTACATACTCCCGCAACCAATTTATGGTACCCATGAATGCTTGTAAGTCTCTCTTATTTCTGGGTAAGGGGAAATTTTGAACTTGTGAAAGATGCTTCGTTTGCGGTGTATTCAGTTCACCCTTGATAGTATGTCCAAGATAATCTAAATTATCTGTCACAAATTTACATTTTTCTAAAGAAATGTGTAAATTGTGCAAGGCTAGTCTTTCGAAAACCAATCGCAAATGAGTCATGTGGTCTTGATGATTGTCCGAAAATATAATTATGTCATCAAGGTATGCCATAGTGAATTTGTGGATATAACCGGTCAAAACTTCCTGTGATATCAGTTTCTGAAAGGAACTGGGGGCATTCTTAAGACCGAAAGGCATAACAGTGAACTGATAGTGGCCTCCATCTGGAGTACTGAAAGCTGTTAAAGGCTTTGCTCAGTCGGTCAGAGCGATTTGCCAATATCCACTGCGCAAATCCAACGAAGTAAATATTTTGGCAGAACCAAGTTCCTTTAACGTGTCTGAAATTTTGGGAAGACGGACACTTTCGTCTGCGGTGATGTCATTAAGTCTTCTGAAATCTACACAAAACCGAGGTTTTTTTTCCAACCTTTTCAATAATCACTGGTGGCGAAGAATGTGGTGATATTGACGGTTCTATAACCCCTTTAGCTAACTTCTGGTTTACTTGTTCATTCAAAATATTTTTTTTGTGTTCACTCATCGGATATGGCTTAATCTTTACAACGTGACTGGACGTTAAGCGAATATCATGTTTCACAGTACGAGTTATAGGTTGTTTTTTCGGATCATCAAATAAATAACTGAATTCTTGGCATATTTTTTGGTACTCACTTTCAATCTCAGTGTCTAAATGATCAAGTTTGAACTCATGCGAAACTTCATAATCTCTGGTAGGAGGGGAAAGAAAATAAAGAGTCCGTCGTTCTTCTTTTCCGAAATATATACATTTTCTAACCGTATCGACAACCACTTGGTTTTCTAAAAACCAAGGATATCCTAAGATACAGTCCTCCTGTAAGGAACCCATTACGAGAAAATTAGAGGTTAAAAGTAAATCCAGAACCGAATACTGAACATCAAATTGACCTTTGACCTCAACCCTGGTTAGGCCGCACCCGAATCTCATTGTTTTTGTGAAGGTTTGATTTAATTGAGCAAAAAATTTGAAATGGAAAATATTTACATTTGAACCACTATCTAATAGTGCGTTAATCTGGTATCCTCCGAATTTCATCATGATCCACGGAAGACCCACAAAATTTTCCTCCTGCGACAGCATCATAATCGGAGAGTCGGAGGCCAACATCCGATTATTCTCTAGTTTTTTGTTCGTGAATAGGGTAGGGCTGAAGCTTGATCCTGGTACCCTTCAGGCTCTTGACAAGATTTTGGAATAGCTCCCGTGCGTTGAATTTTCGCGGGCTTCACTTAGTTGCCTTGCTTGCGGTTGGAATATGGATTTTTGGTGCATTCATTGTGATAGTGCCATTCTGAGCAATAGCGACACCGAATAGGTGGAATTTTCTTCTCTTTCCCTGTAGTTTCATTGGATGAAGTATTTCCCTTGTTTCGAACAGCAATGGACGACTTCCCTGCTGAGTCACAGATGTCCTTATCAATTGATGATGCTATGTGGGCCAGTTGTTCAACGGACTCAAATACCAAGCCTCTAAGTCTTGATCTCATCTCAGGTTTCAATTGTTCACGTAACAAATTGATTAAAATGGTTTCTGGTACCTGTGGTGACAATCGATGGAATAAACATCTTTTCTTCGTGATGAAGATATTGACGTCTTCCCTTTCCGATTGGTTTTTTCCATACAGCTGAGTTGTTAGCTGTGTTATGATAGCAGTGTTATTAAATCGCTCTATGAAACTGGTTTTGAACATTTCCCAGCTCATCGAAAGTTGTTGGTATGGCTGGTACCATTGGGCTGCTGCGCCTTTGAAAAATGTAGCGACAAACTCTGCTTTCTCAGTATCAGGAATGTCTGTACGGGAAAAATATTCTTCCACTTATTCCAAAAACAATACTACAACGGATTGGTGTGAATTTTCTAAACATGGAACTGTACTTAAATGGTCTTTATTTTATTCATCAACTAATATTTTGGAACTCCATTGACTTTCTGCCCTACATATTCATTTCACCTTTCACGAAAGGGAAAAATATTTTTAGGATATTTTAGAGGTCAGACTTACATTCGAAAGACATTTGATCGCATTTTGAAAAATTGTGAATCTGATGCTTTTACTTCAAATATATGGATAAATTGACAAAATTTATATTTTTAAACTACACATAATTGATGCACAAACTGAGAAAAATATATTTTCTGAGTCATCCACTTTCTGTAGGGAAAGTAGATCTATGGTTGTGTGGTTCTCAACCACACAACCACATAAAAAAAGAAGTATTTCAAACTTGACAACTGAAATTGTTCATAACTTTAAAAATTCTAAAGTAAGGCTTCTGCCGGAAATTTTCATTTCGAATACTTTCAGGTTGGGAGTATTGAGTATTGACGGAAGTTGTAAAGTTTTTGATGAAGCTGCTAATGGCTATGCCAGATCCGAAACTGCTGGTATTCTGATTTTACAAAAAGCCAAAGTCGCCAAAAGAAAGTATGCAGAAATCATTCACGTGAAGACGAATTGTGATGGATTCAAAGAGAATGGGATAACCTTTCCTTCAAAAATTGCACAGCAGACGTTATTAGAAGAATTCTATGAAGAATGTGGTGTTGACCGTTACAGTTTGAGTTACCTTGAAGCTCATGGAACAGGTGATTTTTCATATTATATTCGAAACTGAAGAGACATATTCAATTTATTTCTTCATCGGTAATTTACAAATTTATTGATCGATGTGTAAGAGATACCTATTCTAAAAGCTCATCATCTGTAAATTTTTCTAGTCTGGTTCACAACTACATCTTATCGAAAACCTGACTTCTCACATCAAAAATTATCAAGACATCAAGGTGTCATTTGATTTATAATAGTAGGTACCTAAAAACTTTAATACTTTTGAAAAAGGGTCGGCAAAAATTGAGAAACTTATAAACTATCAACCGAAAAATAATTGGTTTGGTTTGTTGCAAACATGTCAAAAACTATCTAACATATCTGAAATTTGCAAAAAAAAAATATCTGAACGACACCGATAATATGTATGAATAAACGATTTTCTGATATTTGGTACACATTTAGTTTTGATGACAATACAATTCAATTAGGTAATTATGTATCATTGTGAATCCATTTCGGAGCAGCTACGGAGCCGCAGCTACGAAATAGCAAATAACATATTTTTCACAACTACCTTAATAGGACGGCTGAAAGAAGGATGTTACCTTAATTTTGTCATGGGCTCCCACTGTCCACAAAATGTAAGGCAACACTGTAGACCACGCTGTTGTGTACATGGGCGAGAAATTGTTTAAATAAGAACAATCATACAAGGCCCTAAGTCGAGAAAATTTTTTGGAAGGTTTATGTATTGAGGAGTAAGATTGCAACACATTGTCGGAAAATAAACCTTGTAATACCGATGCACTTCAATACTGCAACTAAAATATTGAAAATAAAATAAGTATTAAATTGAAATATCTGACAGAACAACAACTGTCAACTCTGTTTATTCTTTTCTACATTAACATTTTGAATCAATTAACACAAAAACATTAAAACAAAACCGAACATTCTTCCCCCTCAAGAGTGTACAACATCATGTGCTGAGGTCTGGCTTACTTCTAGTAGTGGCATTTTACATAGTTTTGTGATTGGACGCTGGTAAACACCAGTCTTCGTTTTTACATCAACGACTCCCACTTGATTGTTTCTAGGATGGGTCGCAATAATTTTTTCCAAGGGGTCAGTTATTCCTCAGAAATCTGTTATCGATTACTATTACATCTCCTGGTAGGAATGCATTGCCTTTTCCCAGCCATTTTGTTCTTTTCGTCAAAGTAGGTAGGTATTCTCGCTTCCAAAAATTGTCATCAATCTTTTGAGAATACCTCCATTGCTTTTCCAAATCAATTTTTTCGTCGAAAATCCCTGGTGATTTAGCCAAGCTTGATGTTCCAATAAGGACATGGTTTGATGTAATACTCTCTGGATCTTCTGAATTTATTGATACGTATGTAAGTGGTCGACTATTCACTATGTTCTCCGTTTCGGCCATCAGAGTTGGTAGTACTTTCGGCTTTGTAGACTTTTTCTTCAACGTTATTTTCAAAGACTGTTTTACAGCACGCACCATTCTCTCCCTGGCTCCTCCCACATGTGGGATCGCAGAACAAATGAATTTCCAACGTATGTTTCTCGGAATCATTTTTCTTTATTAGTTCGCCATCAATATTTTTCAGCGACTCTTTCAGTTCTTTTTCGGTAACTTTCATGTTCGATCCAATATTACTCATTATCAATTCCGGTTCTCCACCTCTTGCAATGAAGCATCTTACGGCCAATGAGCAGGAATCAGTTGATGAAGATTCAGCAATTTCAATGTGGATCGCTCTAACAGACAAACACGTGAACACGATACCGTATCTTTTTTCTGTTCTCCTACCAATACGTACTAGAAAAGGTCCAAAATAGTCCATTCCCTCAAAATAGAATGACATTAATGGTCTTTCCAGGTGACATTCCGTAAACTGACCCATTTCAGACACTTCAGGGTTAGCTTTTCGTACTCTACAGAAATTACAGTTCGTCGTGATTTTGTTGACTGTTCGTCTTATCTGGGGAATCCAGTATTTTTGTCGCAGCTCGTTGATTACCAGTTCTCTTCTCCGGTGTCCATGTTTCTAATGAAAATGTCCAATCAAAAGCTGGGTATATTTGTGTTTGCTGTCTAGAATTATAGGATGTTTTGTTTCCTCGTATAGTTCTGTCGAAAAATCTGTTCTGCCTCCAACTCTCAATAAGCCGTCTCTGAATATAACAGAGAACTGAAGTAATCTAATGGAGTTTGAAATTATTTTACCTTTTAATGAGACATACTCTTCTGCAAAACTGTCTATCTTTTTAAACCAAATTTGTTCAGCTTCAAATTTTTCCCCCATGGTAATTCCTTTTTTTCGTCTATTCCTCTTGCAGTACATACTGTAGGGTCCATTTCTTAAAGTTATTTTGGTTTGGTAAATAATCTTTGGAAATTACGAACGTTATTTCTGGAATACTCCGTGGTGTCTTCTCGAATTCTTCTTTCGATCAAAATTCTTCATCGAAATATAAAAACTCGGGGCCTTCAAACCATCTAGAATTTTCAAACTTCAATTCTTTCATATCTCTTGTAGCCTCATTAGCAACATTCATTGTGGTTGGAATACAACGTCATTGACTGATTTTGGAATTTTCTCTTATTTCTTCAGTCCTACGGGAAACGTAACTCGATATTTTAATATTTTCATTTCTGATCCTCTGAAAATTCGAACGAAAATGAGTTTTCTCTATACACATAGTGTGCTCCTGAATAACTTTATTTGTTAAACGAGTAGCAAATAATGCTGCTTGAAGCTCCTAATTTGGAATGCTCAGTTCCTTTTTTTTATTAACACGCTTTTATTAGCTTCACCTGTATGTATGTATGTATGTATGTATGTATGTATGTATGAATGTATGTTTGTTTGTTTGTCAGTTGTTTGTAAGTCTCCTTTTCATTTCATATTTATTTCCGTTTGAATGCTCGAGATCTGTATTAGACAGAATTATTGACATTATTGCTTGATCTATTTGCGGGCAGGTGGCGCTGTACGGAACCCCCCTTGATATATCGACATTGTTTGATCTATTCGCGGGCAGATGGCGCAGTACGTAACTCTTTGATATAATTCGAACTCACTTTACATGAATTTTTTCATTTGAAAAAAGAATTTTTTTATTAACACGCGCGCCTGTTGCCTCATTTGTAACTATCCTTTGCGCACTTGCTGCCTTCCTTGGGTTTGGTAGCTGATTTTCAGGCTCCCTCTTCGGTATCGGAAAATATCAATGGTCATTTTTCTAAACAATATACGGCTGATTGATCCCAAAGTTTAGATAAAATAAATATATTTTAAAAAAACTAAAAAACACCCTTTTATAGCACACGAAACTGAAAAAATGAAAAATAAATATAGTTTAAGAAACTAACAAACACGCTTTTAAATAACTAAAAAGTTGAAAATATTTTTTTTAATAAGCTCAAAACACCAACGAAGAAAAAATACTAGTATTATTGTGAAAAAAGCGTGGGCGCTTTGTGCCATATTTTTTGTATATCAAGCGCCAGTCGCTTTTTTCACAATAATACTAGTATTTTTCGTTCGTTATTGTTTTAAGCGTATTTAAAAAAGAAAATTTAAACTTTTTAGTTCGATGTTCTTTAAAAGTGTTTTTGTTAGTTTTTTAAACTATATTTATTAGTCTTTGATGTTACCAATATTATTTTCTTTTCGTTAACATTCGAAAATCGGAAATAACTGAAGATGTAATGGCTTGTTGGCTGGCATCGTAGGAATCTTCACGGTTTTTCAGTTAGCACCTCAGAATTCTAAGGTTTTTCGCCTGCTGCAGTTTTTCTAAACATCTCAACCACTTCTTCTTGAGGTGTTCTGATATTTTTTCGTCTATTGTTTTCACTGTTTCCTATGTGAATTTCACTTCTGATCATTAGATTCCTCAAAAGGCCTAAAGGATCATAGGCCGACATAATTATTTTCAAAACTTCTCTTTTTGTGGGTATTTCCTTATTTTCCGCAAAAAAAAAATAAATTTTATGATAATTCAAAGAAAATGATAAATTGTCTTCTACTAGGGACTAACCTAGAACCCATTGTAGTTCAATATATTCGTCATTTATGTTGGATTTCAAATTTTCTGGTATACTTTTCAATAATTCTAGCGAATTACTCGTCCAGTACCGTATATTGAAACCTCCTTTCTGAAGGATTCCAATTTTGTCTTCTACAAATTTCTTGGCTTTTTCTTTATCCGCTACACTGTCTAAATAGTCATCCATAAAATGTTTTTAAGGCATTTACAACTACAGGAAAATCATTCTTAACTGTTGAGCATTTTAGTTTCATATATATTGAGCACAAAATAGGGAGGAAACGGCTTCAAAAATCATAACCTCCATAGAGTGTGTATCAGATTTTTTCTTCTTTCCAAACCTCCCCATAAAAATCATTGTGCATCGTGGTCTTCTTTCCGAATTTTTATTTGGTAGAAAATCTCCTCTTTATCACCACATTCTCTGGTTTTTTTAGTTGGCTTCTAGACGTTGCAATTTTATCTGATTTCTGTATGGAAAGCCAGTGACGAACTATGGAATGTGATGAAATTTCCTTAAATTTGGCATTATCACCATTATCGGATTTATCTGGTTCTGTTCCGATTCTGACTTTCAGACAACATCAATTTCAGTTTTTTCTAATGCCAGCCTATTCAAAATCATCTGTTTCTCCCTGTTCTAGTATATGCGACAATGCTTCATCTAATTTCATCTGAGCCTCTATCTCAAACTTGGAGGTGGTTCTGCTTGCATTGGACTATTTGCTTGTAGAACTTTTCTTGGTGAATATCTTCCTGCTTTCAATACTTCTTTAGGGATGTTCAGCTTCACTATCTGAACACATATTTGATCTCGCTTGGTTTCCCACGTCAGGGCAAGTTACATTCTTTGTCGTCATATTTCTCGTCTGAATTTTATTAGACATCGTAATTCGTGTTAGAAAATAGCTCGGAAGACTGATAAATGGATTTGTTTTAAAATCCACGGAATTGATTAATGAAAGTATTGAAATTAAATCTCGAAAATATCTGACAGAACAATAACTGTCAACTTTTCTACAGTAAAATTCTGAACCAATCAACACCAAAACACTAAAATAAAACTGAACAGTTTCAATGAGAAATAAAAGAAAATAATAATGTAGATAATGTATTGAAAGCTAAAAAATTATTCGAAAGGTCCTAGGTAGCAGTCATCATACCACTCTTTCCAGCAATCTACGGTATTGATTAGATAAAAAATAATAGAATCGTTGGGCATAGTATTAACATATTTACTCGGGTGACGCTACGCCCAACGATTTTATAATTTTTTTATCTGATAAATACCGTAGATTACTGAGGAGAGTGATGTGATGACTGCTATCTAGGACCTACAGAATATTTTTTTAGCTTTTACTACATCATTATTCTCTTTTTTTTCTATAAAACTGTTTAACTAAAAACAGTTTTTTACTTTTTTTATTTAAATCACGAGGTAAAAGTTAGGCTTAATCGAATTAAACAAAAAAATATTGGGCCGATTAAATATGAATATCAAAGAACTATAGTTGTTATTTAGACAAAATGAAGCGCGTCGGTCAAAAAGTTTTGCAGAAATTTGTCAACTGTACTCTGTTTCCTGAAATAGTAAGTAATAAATGACAATTATAAATACAAAATTTTAACAGAGAGTCCAGTTTATGGCCGAGAGAAATTTCTATACATGATCTATATACATTTTTGTGAAGAGTTTATTTTGAACTCATTTTTTTTGTAAAAAGACTGAGAAATGGAAAGCCAGAAAGCTTTTTTTCTGATTTGTTCTTTACTATCTTTATTAAAATAATATCTTAGCATATATTGTAGATGACAATAAACATTCCCGAAACTCACAGTGAATACCTGAAAAATATCATTATTCATTGCTCGTTGGAAAGTTTTTTTCTCTTGTCTGCGACAGAATAGTTCGGCGAATGAACACAAGATTGACGTTGATAACTCATTACGTTATAGGTACTAGTGTTGGAGATCCTGAGGAAACTGGTGCTATTGACGATGTTCTTACTAAAGGAAGAAAAACCCACCTCTTGATAGGATCAGTTAAATCGAATATAGGACATTCTGAGCCGTCATCGGGAATCGCTTCCGTTGTGAAGGTGAGAATATTTAACGAATCAATAATTAATTCCACAATTTATACAATCCCTATTATTAGATAGATTAAGAAATCGTTGATATGAGACATAGAAAATTGAGTGTTAGGATTATTTCGAAGGGGATATTTCTTTCAGGAGATATTTTTCTATCGTTAGTGGTATTGTATTCTTCAACATGTCTTTGTTACTCTTAAAGTGAAAAATTTCCTGAAGTGAAATATCTCTTATTTTAGCGATTTATAATTATTTGAGAGAAATGTTACCAATGACAATAATTGAAAAATTTGCTTTAGAGTTAACTTCAAATAAAATATAGATTAGAAGGAAAACAGTTTAATTCAAAACAAACCCTTTACAAATATTTGTAGACCATGCTTAGATGTTTTTTCCAGTTTATGCCTGAGAGAAACTTCTATTCAAGATCTGCACGTCTTTGTGTAACGTAAAAATGTTTGAGTTTCTGATTACTCTTATTTCGTTATTAAGTGACTAAGTTTCATATCAGTCCATGTTTAAATTCTTGATTTTTGTAAGAAATTGGATTTTTTCAAACGAACTGTCATTCAAATGATTAAGCATGACGTTTGAGAACAATTTGCTGGAAGTTCTCAAAGCTCGGTCATATACCTAGTTGACGATTTTTTTCAATAGTATTGAGAATTATTATTGATTACTATTTTAATCTCCTTCAGTGTTTAATTGGGCTAGAAACCGGAATCATTCCCCCCAATTCCCATTTCAAAAAACCGAATAAAAACATTCCAGGTCTAGTGGAAGGAAGATTGAAAGTTGTTTCAGAACCGATGCCTTTTGAGGATGACAGGGGTCTAATTGGTGAGTAAAAGTTTTTACACCAAGACGAATTATTACCGACTAAATGTCTTCTTCTTTGTTCAAATATGTATTCAAATAAAAAATTTCAATTTGCGGACTATTCGTCTCTCTATAGGTAAATATGTTTGTTTTTACGTGAATGTGAAGATTCTTTGTTTTCTCTCATTACGACTCATTTCGAAACCAGAGATATTTGTATTCAGATCGGGTCACATTTTTATAATTTAGTTTTTCATTCATATGTCTGCATATCGTGAATATTTCGTATTATATTACGTGTTCAACATTTACGAATGATACTTAGTTGTATCTGTCCTTCAAAACCTCAGCAACAGTACAACAATTCGAAAAACAATTCAGATATATCATCATTAATGAAAAAAACCAAAAGTCATTTTTTGAAAATCACTGCCTCTATGATATATATTTATTGTTCGGTTCTAATGCAAATAGAATTGAATGCACCTGTGGCGCATTGAGTGGAAACTGTTGACCAAAATGTTCATTTAGTTTGTCAGTTATAACTGTCGATAAATATCGTCCATATACCGAATCATATTTACTGATTCAGTTAGGACATCTCAACAAGTATTTTGTTGGATTTACGTGTCCCTTTCACGTTATTGACAGTATGCCAGAGAGTTTTCGTTTCATTATTCGATTCCCTGATGATTGCATTATAATGAGATTTTTTTCAAGTGAAATTTGCTTGTCAATATCCCTCTATCCTATTTTATAGTTTTCTTTGACCTTTTCATCCAATGTATGTTGTTTAGCTTTTCTCTCATTTGGTTTATTACTCGTGAACAATTGATTTTTAATTAACACGCTTTTATAAGCTTCACCTGTATGTATGTATGTGTGTTTGTCTGTAACTCTCAAGCACGGGATCTGTATTTGACAGAATTATCGACATTATTGCCTGATTTATTCGCGGGAAGATGGCGCTGTACGTAACCTCCTTGATATATCGATATTGTTTGATCTATTCGCGGGCAGATGGCGCAGTACGTAACTCTTTGATATAATTCGAACTCACTTTACATGAATTTTTTCATTTGAAAAAAATATTTTTTTTTATTAACACTCGCGCCTGCTGAGCGCCTCCTTGAGCTTAGTAGCTGATTTTCAGGCTCCCTCTCCGGAATCGGAAAATATCAATGGTAATTTTTCTAAACAATATATGGCTGATTGATCCCAAAATTTAGATAAAAAAATATAGTTTAAAAAACTATAAAACACGCTTCTAAAGAACATTGAACTAAAAAGTTGGAAATATTTTTTTTAATAAGTTTAAAACAATAACGAACGAAAAATACTGGTATAATTGTGAAAAAAGTGTGGGCGCTTTGTGCCATATTTTTTGTATATCAAGCGCCTGTCGCTTTTTTCACAATAATATTAGTATTTTTCGTTCTTTATTGTTTTAAGCTTACCTATTTGAAAAAAATATTTTTAACTTTTTAGTTCGATGTTCTTTGAAAGCGTTTTTTTTAGTTTTTCAAACTACATTTATTTCACTTTTCAAAGAAGAATTCACTTTTCTCGTAGTGTTTTTAGGAAACGATCAATTGAAATACCAAAGAAATCACTTACAAAGTTATCAAACAAGATATCGAAATGTGATCTTGCAAATATAAATTTGAACCCGTTTCTGGAGTTCTGATCAATTTTTCTGTATGAATATTGTTTCACGTTTGTTACTGGAATAGAAGTGGACACAAGTGACAGTTACAGATTTGTCCATGGTGATCAGAGGAACCCGGATTTAAATTAGTGTATTTGATTAATTTCGGTAGATTTGATATACTCAGTTATCAGAAACGACGAAGACCTGAGAAGATTAAATAGCAATTTCAAGTCTGAATTACTACCAAATTGGTCAGTGTTTAGGTCTCCACATAAGAGTACGAGCTCAAAATCGTGTGTAGGAAAAGAGATAAAACCTCAGAACGAAGACCTGATTTTTAGATCATTGTTGGGAGGCCGATAAATATTCATTTTGCAATATTTATCATGGACAGCAACTGCTGATCATTCAATATTATCATTTCCAGTGAGAAATAGTTGATAGCCATGAGAGGTCTACAAGAAGGCAAAATTCAATTTATCTCTTCTATAATGTTACCAATCACAAATCTCCAGGTTACCTATCCAAAAAATAATACTTCGAAATGACGTGTTGCTTATTTAAATGCTTAAGAATAATAGCAGGGATTTATTTATCCCGGATCATTTTCCCATTCTTTAATTGATTTGTGCATATTCTTGAAATGGAAAATACAGACCTATATTCCTATATCTATCTTTGTTTAGACATTGATTTTTTTTTATTTAAAAAAGAATGATACAAAATATGAGGAGAATAATATAATTATAAATTGAAAGGGGTATATTATTTTCAATAATCTTGTTCGAGATAATTTTACAGGCAGTATTATCATTTGAAAGAACTTATTCATTTTTAGGAATCAATAGTTTTGGTTTTGGTGGCGGAAACTGTCACACACTGCTGAGGAAAAACAAAAAGGAAAAACTCAATTCAGGATTGCCCTCAGATGATATACCAAGATTGATCTGTCTTAGTGGTAGAACTGAAGAGTCAATAATTTCTTTGCTGGACGAAGTGAAAAATAACGTGCTTGACGCAGAATATATCCGACTGTTGCACAATATCTTCCGGTATATAAGAATATACAGGGTGTATCAATGATATGTTAGTGAATGATATCTGCTCATCTCTTCGAGATAGGAAAAATATTCCAGATGAAAGTTGTATAGAACTGTAGAAGCTGTGTAATAGAAATAACTATTCATATACAGAGTATCTGGTGAACGTGTGACTCATCAAAGTATTGATTTTTAAACAGATCCACCTATACTTTCAAATCGATGTATTTCTTTGGAAAGCGTCGTTTTCGAATGTTTCCACAAACATTGGGTTACTTGGGTTTTTACCTGGTGGTTCGGAAGATATAGTGAGAATAATGTCACAAAATGGCTTCATTATTCAACACCAAATACAGAGTAGGCACTAAATAGAGACAGATAAGTGTGTTAATTTTAATTTCATTGAAGACAGTTTTCTTCTACATTAGTTTTTGGAAAAATCTGTTGAATTCATCATATCATATTGATAATGATCAATTATACTTCTGTTGTTTATAGGGAAATGATAAAGAAAACGCAAAGTTCAAAATATTTTTTGCTAAAGAAAATTTTCACATTCATTCAAATCCATGAAGATTTAATCAGGTATATTATTAACCTACTTGTACCTATCCGTAATTATTTAATATCATTCAATAACCTCAAATGCTATACTTACAGGATCGGTCTGAATATGAATAATCTGAAATGGTCAGTCAAAATTTCACATTATCAACTAATCTCAGAAATTACTTCCTTTCCTGCGAGTTTCTCTTCTTATTTCCCCTCCTGTATTTGATTGCTTGATAATAGTATTGTTTAGGATGACATCCAGTGAGGAGGATACTGTAATTAAAACTTTCACGTCGTTACATAATTTATTGGGCAAATCAAACAATATTGATTGAAGGTGATAGACAATGTTTCATGATGAAATTTCATTGTCCGATATTATATAAAAAAACCTTAAATGAAATAATAGTGAAATAAGATACAAGTAAAAATAGAACAATTGAACAAAAATTAAAAATGAAAACAAAAAGTTAAGAGATTTCAAGCCAAGTTACTTCACGACATTTCGATTGTTAGTATTCACAATCGTCTTCGGTTGATGACTGGACTAATTACTCCGAGAGATGATTATGGGTCATTCGAGTACTTTCACTTATCACCGCTTTCCTTTTTCCGCTTCACCGGATCAGTGTGAGATGACTGTTTGGCGGCAGTTGGCCATTTTTCACGTGATTATGGGTTTCCATATGTTGCGTATCTCTACGCTAGCTTGGCTGAATACATTGTTGGACAACATGTATACGGCTTCGGTTAATTTCTTACACATCAATCTACTGAAAGAGGAATCATCAAGACTCTATTAGACCGTGCTTTCGGGCTCTGTATTACGAAGGAAGGTCTCGAGAAGGAACTAGGCATAATCAAAAATGATTTTTAACGGAATGGCTACTCCAAAGCGATTGTGGAACAGACTTTGGCTAAAGACAGCAAGAGTTTCGCAAGGATGGGAAGCTGTCACAACCAGTGCTTGCACTTCCCTACATCAGAGGATTATCGGAAAGGATAAGAAGAATTGGGTTCAAGTACAACATCAGAACCTGCTTCAGATCCGGAAACACTATCCGTAGCAGCCTCACGAAAACCAGGACATCAAACACGGACTGCGATTCCAAGAATTGCATTTACAGGATACCCTATGAGTGCGAAAAATTCTATATCGGTGAAACTAAGAGGCCATTGAATGTTCGCATCGACGAGCACAAGAAACACACACAGCGAGGGGAAACCAGCAAATCATAAATAGCAAAGCATGTTTCGACACATCAACATAACATCGAGTGGTCCCAAGCTGAGATCATACACATGGAGGAACATTGGTTCAGGAGGAAATTCAAAGAAGCCTCGATGTACTCAGCCAAGCTAGCGTAGAGATACGCAACATATGGAAACCCATAATAAAGTGAAAAATGGCAGCAATTATTCTTTTTCATATTTCGTCCGATTTGGATATCTTGCCCTGTTGAGAAGAAACTTTGAAAAATTACACATTCATTTAAGACCCTTGTATTTCTTTTAATACTCTCAAAACATTCATTTGTGACATTTTTCTACTTCAAACAGGGAAGCAGCTATCATCCTCCCAAGTATCGTCGATTCACCCTGTACGTAAACTGAAACAAGAATAACAAATATTTCTTTAGGTTTGCCATACCGAATCAACTGTTTCGAGGTTTTGCAATCGTTTCGAAATCAGGAGAAATATGCAGATTCTTGGACAGCTTCCGAAATGATATCAGGCCCCTCTATTTGGGTTTTGGAGAACTAAATAACTGGTCCCATATTGGAAATAATCTGTTGGCTCTGCCTGAATTCTCCAACTCAATTCAAAGGTAAAATATGATGTTTAAAGGTGGTTTACAAAGTTTTTAGTTGAATAGTCGAGGTTCAGACTTAGTTGTTTGAAAATGATAATACAGGGTGTAACTAAATGAGTGTAAAACATTTGAGGAGGTGATTCCTCATCGAAAAAAAGATAGGATCTTTCATTTAAAGAAATTTCATTGGAGTATCCCTTGTTAAGATACAGCCCCTTAAAGGGGGTACACAAAATTTGTATAACAATTTTTTTCACAAGCACTGAAAAAGTTACAATATTGGAATTAAGCTGACGTTTTGTACTACCAAAAAGACACTTAGCCAGAAATTTATTTGGTTTAGGTAATCAGAGAGACTCCAGGAATATTTGAGCGTATGCAGGTACCAACTACAAAATAACAATAAATCCAGTTCGCATTTATGACGATGTATCTATGTAGTTGTTCGTAAAATAATTTTTTGCTGCGAACTGGTTTATTTTGGGCAAAAAACCCAAGAGACATTTTTTGTTTAGAATGAAACAGGCTATCGAAAATAAAGTTTTAAATGGTGAACAAATAATAAGACAAAAAGTTACATTAGGGGTTGCGTTTTCCACCCCTTACAACCATGGAGTAAACTAAATAAATTACTGGCTAAGTGTCTTTTTGGTAGTACAAAACGTCAGGTTAATTTCAATATTGTAACTTTTTCAGTGCTTGTGAAAAAAATTGTTATATACAAATTTTATGTACCCCCTTTAAGGGACTGTATCTTAACAAGGGATGCTCCAAAGAAGTTTCTTTATATGAAAAATCCTATCTTTTTTTCGATGAGCAATCACCTCCTCAAATGTTTTACACTTATTCAGTTACACCCTGTATATTAGAATGAACATGGTAGAAAATATTCAAAAAATTGAATAGAACTGGAGGCGGAAGAGCCGAAAAACGAAATTTAACAATTCTAGTTCTTGGCTGGGCAAGGAATAATATCTCTACAAAGAAATAAATTATTGGAAAAAACCATTGATGATGCTTCACTTGTTTATAATTCAGTTGAGGCTCATAATTGTGAACAATTGAAAAGGTGGTTAAAACGTCATGGGCGTCCGCAAAAAGGAAAAAAAGTGAGCTGATTGAGAGGTTAGGTATCAGCATTTGTTTACTATCTAAAAACATGTAAAAAAATAGTATTTACAGTTATATTCTTATTAATAATGTCAATTTATTTGATGTAATTTAAAATATATTTCAGTTGACAAGACTAATACTTATGGAACTAATCTGTTTAAAAATCAAGCCATATGACATTATTAATTAGATAAATATGTAAATACTGAATTGAATATGTTTATTAATTTTCATTAGAGGGAAATATTTAATACAACATAATATATATGAAATTTATACAGTCAAAAATGCACGAATAATGCACGTATGTTGAAATTCCTGATAGCTTAAAGGATTAGGGTTTTGTTCAGTTGGACCACTTTCTCCAATGAAATGTAGTGAGCAAATATAAGTATCCTTGTTAACATCATCAATAGATTTAAAGCCTCGGTCACTTCTGCCACATTTTTTCACCCATAATTCACATTTTGCACATGCTTTAATATGTAATTTGCTCGATGATTTGACTTTCTTTTTGCGATATTCTAGACAAGGCTTTGGAAAATTTAGTATGTGTTGGTTTTGAATGATTTGTATCGTGTATCACTTTTACATACTCCATAAAAACACCGTTTTGTTGTTCTTTTTTGTACAGATAACATAATTATAATGGAGTATAAACATTTTTTTCTCATTCACTTTTTTTACAATCAATGAACTTCAATTTATATTTCAATTTTTAAAACATGAGTTGCGGGCTCTTCAACATGGTTGTTTACAAAAAACAGTACGAAAAAGATGGCTGAAACTGACGCATGCGCACAAAAAAATTGTGATGAAAAGGTCTGTATTGAAGTGAAGAAACTACTCTTTCAGAAGTGTTACTATAATGTAATTTTTTCAATCATTCATGATAACCATATGAACAAAGTAACATAAATTAGTGTTTGTAGGTTTCCAATGAGTATTGTAGAAGAAAGTTTTTTTTCTATCTCACCCCGCTCTGGAATATTTCTGATTTTAAACAATGAAAAAATAAAAAAGAAACATAAAATCTGAGATTTTTCAGAGATTGCCTGTTAGGTATCTATGGATATCCTTATATTGTAATTTTTATTTTTCAGAATTCAAGAGAAACTTTCAGTTCTGGGTATTGATATCATTGACACTTTCCAGAAAGATTCGATTGACAGAGAAACGCACCACATCTTGGGAAGTGTTGCCGTTCAAATTGGTTTGATCGACTTATTCAAAGTACTCAAAATTAATCCGAAAGATTATTTTGGATATTCATTCGGAGAGCTTGTTTGTGCATATGCCAATGGAATTTGCAATTTAGAAGAAACTATGAACTGTGCTTTTATTATAAACGAGTCTATCAATAAGCTGGCAGATTTTTATGAAATAGGAAACGACAGAAAAGATGTGAGTTGGTAGACGAAGAAATAAGAAACATTCACGAAAATATAATTTTATAATATTTTTACAGATAAATAGTTGTGATGTGTCTTTACTAGATAAAATCAGAGAAAAGCTCAAAGTTGAAGAATCGGCAACAACAAGTAAGTACATGGTATGTCCAAATTTTTAAGTGACGTTATATATAGGGTGTATCAGAAGAGATGATTCAGTTTTCGATTTCAAAAAAACCTATACGATTGTATATTCTAACAATATTCGTTCTTGTAAAAACATGCGACAAGGCTCTTATAAAAAATCGTGCGCTTATTAGCTATTTGGAAGAGTTTATCTAGTACATCGTTACATGATATTATCGCAAGATTCATCAGTTGAAAATACAATTTTCTGGTTTCTGGAATTTTTTGAAATATGCTGCTTAACTTTCGATAACAAATTTAAAAGGTGATGCATTGTAGGCCAGTCAGGATTATTTATTATGAAGCATCTCAAATCGTGTGACTCTATAGGCAACACTTCGGCGGTGATAACCTCTCTCCTCCAGAGACTAAATCCTCGAATATCAAAAATGAAAAAGGCTTTCTATGTCGGTCAATTGCAAAACCAAGCTTCTATATCGACCACCAAACGAGATACGTCATCTTGGCTTTCACTAGCTTTTGCTGCAAGGCAACTGGATGAAACCAGAGCTTGGAAACAAAACATTGATGATGTAAGGTAAAATTGGAACCTCTGGAGTAGAAAAAATCCAAAACAAGCGCTTCTCCCAATCAGCAAAACTGCAATACTCTTCTCGACGTGCGTTTCACCAATGGCTTTGTCGAATCTATTTTCCGGGTTTGCAAAATTTTATTCCTGACGTTTCGTCTACTAATGCAGTAGATATCATTAAAACGATGAGGTAACAGTCGAAGAGCTTGAGTTGTTCGCAACGCAGAAATTATAATGCTGGAATTTCATATCATCAGTGGTGGGCGTGGATTCGTTCCTCCTAAGATTAAATGACCTCGTTTGTGTTCAAATTAAGACTAGGTAGCCGATTTTACTAATGTTCATTGCCTTTTCCTGGTGAAATTATCCATGTGTTTCTGAATTCGTGTTGACTCTCTATATATTCTTGAATAGTAATTTTGAGTTTTATTAAGTATTTGTGTATCTTCTCATGATATAATGTGAGTGCCTTCTTTGAGAACATGTTCGGCTATAGGTGATTCGGTTTGATCGAGTCGACAATTTCTCTTGTATTCAGAGAGACGGTTGGCTACCTATATTCTTTTCGTGATTCCAATGTAGACCAAACTGCAATTGTCACCAAATTTTTGTTGCATATTTTGGTAATACTTGGATAGACAACCAAGGACCCAACCTTTGACGGCCAGGTCACCGAACCTAACCCCTATGGACTATACCTCTGGGGAAGGTTGAAAGATCTTATTTTTGAATTGCCGACCAATTCTAGATACGAATTGAAAGCGACAGTGATGCAAAGTTTTACTTCTCTCACTCCTATTGAACTAATTAATTCGGCAAAAAACTTTCAGAAAAGGTGTCGCCTGTGTGTATGAGAAGCTGGTAGACATTTTGAACACCTTCTCTGAAGAAATATATGTCATTGATTGTTCTTTATCATCAATATTATTGTTGACGTTTCATTTATTAGCAGTGAATATAGTATGAATTGTTATCAGTTTTGTTGAAACTATGCATTTTAATTACTGATGTGAAAAGCTTGCTCCTCAACATTTGAAAGCTACTACTGAACAATTTTTTTGTTTTATCGCCGCGTCGTCCAAAGCCTAGTTGATCAAAGTGTGCGTTTCAAAGTCTACATGGAAAAACCTGAAGTTCTCTATTTTGAATATGACTCTAGCAAAACATCAAGTGTGCTACATTTTTGGAAAGATAATTTTAAGTTCTATTGAAATATGCAGGAATATATAGGGGATCTCATTAAAAAAATAGTTTTCCATCAATGATTATTGATATATTATTTGAAAAAATAAGTTTTTTATAAGTAAAAAAGTAAGTGTTTTGTGAATGTTTTCATAGAGATCAGAAATTTTTGACAGGAAAAAAGTTACAGTAACTTTTTGAGAATGCAGGTTTTCGAAAAACATGCTGTAACTCATCAATAACTTTGTCATAAAATTTGACCCTCAGACACAGACATCAGTTTTGATCTATCTAGTTTGAAAATAAGAGTTTCTCTTCAAAAGTGTTCAGTTTGACCCACTCTGGTTACCCACGATGGTTACGATCAAGGAAACTATATGACTAATTGGCCATCTTCGCTCATTATTCATTTTAAACTAATTTTCAGTGGGATCGTATTTTTTACGAACAAACGGATAATACCGCTTTAAGTCAGATGGTGGCGAACATTTACAAGGAAAATTTCGAACAACGGGCTTCAGAGGAAGCGGCTGTGAAAATATATTTTTGGCTGCGTTATGTTCATGACACGTTCGTGGTTTGGCGATATGGTGAAGAGACACTAAAGGATTTTATATTATATCTAAACTCTCTTAGCCCAAAAATCCAATTCACAATGGAACGAGAAACCCAAGGGACTGTAGCCTACTTGGATAAACTTTTAAACAGACGTGAAAGTGGGAAATTGGGCCATAAAGTGTGCAGGTAATAAAAACACACAGACAGGTAGCTGAATAAAAACCCTGACCACCAGCCACAACTGAAGAGAGAGATTATTGAAACGTTGGTTGAGAAGGCACGATGTATCTGTGAACCTGAGAGTTCCTCTGAGGAACTCACTTCAAAAATCTTTCATTCATCGCCTGAATACTCCAACTTGATCGGTGAAAAGCGCTCCGAGAATAGTTTGCAGTTGTGGTGATTGGAAAAAGTGCTTGTTTTGGAAAGCATTCGTGGTGAATCCAAATAGCGCTGTCTGGTGGCTCTTCTTGAGCAACGTCTAAATTGGTTGTGAACTGCCAAAAAACTCTTCTCAAAAGGAAGAACCAACAAATTGTATTTGGTCTGGTTTCAAAGCCACACTGGCCTGGAAGGTAATGAAGCTGCTGAATGTTTTGCTCAGGTGGTCGCTGCATGCGATTTCATTAGATCAGAACGATTGCTAACTCAACTCATGTACTACATACCCCTTTCTCAATGTTTCGCACATACGTATTCAATACAAAACATGAACTATCATCACTTGTCAAGAGACCTAAAATAACTGAAGTAACACATAACATAGTTAAAAACAAAAAAAATTCTTCACTGAAATACAGAATTTTCAAGATGTGTGGGTAATAGTCTCTTCATCCTTTTTGCTCTGACATTATGACATTCTTCATTTTCAATCGAAGTTAGCTTATTGGTTGCCGATTTCACCTTACAATATTATCATTTTCGAATCTCATTTGATAGGACTTTGGAAAACCCTGACTTTTCTTGAACAGTGCCTTCTCTCTTTATAATCATTATTCATACTGTAGTGGATAATACACTCTTGCCAGTCATTTCCAGTAAAGAAAAATACGTCTGCGGATGATACTGTTACTGTTCACTATTGTTCACTAGGGTTTGTAGTTGATGTTGTGATAACATTTGGGGTAATTTTTCTATATGACTTTTCAGGATAGTTTTTTGATCTCAATCTATTTCAATTGCTATGTTTTTGTGATAATTCCCACCTGACACTATGTAATATTCTCGTATGTTGCAGTGAAACCTTATCCTAACATAAGAATGATAGACAATATTATTCCCAAGCAATAATAAAAATTTTGACGAAATCGTTCTTCACAGTTAGTATGATCTCATTGAGTGCTTCCCCCGTATCCTGCTGGATGACAGTGTTGGGTGGTTTTCTGGTTACCGTTAGTCTTTTTTGTAGCAGCTAAGGTTGTGACTCGCCTGGTATATGGAGACGGAAAAAAATCTCCTTCGTCCTCTTTGTAGGTTTCGCCTATTCTTGTTGTTCTAATTAGTGTTATATCGATGAAGTACAGACATATTTCGAAAACTTTCAAAATACCTCTAAATAATATTGACCTGAGGGGAGATAAATAATCAACAGTTTTGTCGATCAATAAATTTTCAATATCCAGCACTTATTTAAGCGAAAATGTGTCAAAGAAAAGCTTAAAGTAGTTGCTGATGTGTCCATGTTCATACTTTTTTGTTGCAAAGTGGGATAGTTTCTCAAAAAAATCTATCAGTGGTAACTAATTTGACAAATTCTATAACGATATGCTCTATTTCAGGAAAACAAGTTCTTCAAAATTTAACAAATTTCATGAGATCTAGCTCCATCAATAATAAACTCACCAAACAAACTCTTGCAAATATGGACTACTTCGTAGATTGCCTAGCCAAGGATGCTCTTCAAAATTTTGGGAAAATCGAATCGATGTCGATTTTCCTTACTGTAGGAAAATTTCCTGCAGAAGAAAATATTGTCGACGTGAAAGTTACTCAACTTTTCTCTTTCCAATGTGATAATCATCTTGACGAATTTTTGAAAGTTTTGGGACAGTGAGTATTATATTTGTATTGTCTTTTTTACCCCAAGAAATATTAAATGTTTATGAATAGGGATGACGAAATAAAAATACGAAATTTTCTTCGAATCCTTAGGTAGATTTATCCGAATTTGTGTCTGTTTAACAGTAATTATGAATTTTTCAGCTTATACATCGGGGGCCATGACCAACATTTATCATGTTTGTATCCAGAAATTGAACTCCCCGTGAGCAGAGGAACTAAAATGATTTCACCATACGTCAAATGGAAACATGATAGTAGACAATGGTTTACCCCACTGTATGATCTTGTGGCCAAAAATGTTGCCCAACAAGGAGCCAGAACTGTTGGTATCCAACTCTCAGATCTAGAGTGGTCATTCGTGGATGGTCATGTTATCGATGGTGAGTGAAAATTCGTGAGTCTTATTTGAGTGCTACTTCGTTTTTCGAATGGGTTTTCAGGTTGGAAACCTAAAAGTTGAGAGAGACAAATTCTTGGAATTGAATCATAAAATGTTCGTGGTTTGGAGGTTATTTTCCTAAAAGTAGAGGACAGACATTTGATGATGACAATTTTAAACGGGTTACTCCTACGATAAATATGAGACACCGGTGTTGCCTTATGCTCAGGAGGATATTGAATCTGTTGTGGAGAATGAGAGGTGCTGAATTTATCAGAACTACACATTCTTCATTCTCAGGCAGATACAAACCAATAAGTCAGTTGTAATCCATCAACATATGACTTCCGGATCCAGCGAATATCGTCCAATAGAGGAGAAAAATGAAAGAAGTGTTGAAGTTTACTCTTCGATTTCCGCAGACTCTACCAGTACACTGTGCTTAAATGGTTGTTCTGATTATAGGAGTCTTGGTGGAATGATATTTTCACTACTCTCTAATCTTATTATATCGGCTTTTCATCAAAATGGAAGAAATATGGGTCGAGCAAATGCAGAAAGTTATCATTTGTATGGGCAATCTTTTGAGAACGAATGATTTCCGGTCCCACAGATCAATTACTTCACAGTTGTGGAGAGTGGTTACTTATTGATAATCCTGGCATGCTATCTGAATGGAACGGAGCTCCACGTACAGGGCCTGATCAGCAACCCCTTTTCTGGCGAGAAAAGAATAATATGAAAATGAATCATCCATGGAAAGGAATACTGGTTCAAACGATGATTTGAAGACGCCAGTTACAAAGCATTCAGCTTATTCCAGAATGGAGGTCTGCAGTGTAAGAAATTCTCTAATGAATTAGTAAAATCAAAAGAAGAGAGGTGAACGGGCTCAGATGATCTACAAATGGTCTTGGAGTATCAGAAATTGACCAGTGATCACTCGAAAATAATGGTGGATACTGACAATCGCAAAGTTGTAGTCATACTGGTAGCTACATGGTGTCAGTGGTATACCTCTTAAATGGATAAAATCATATATGATTGGTATAAAGCAAGGTGCAATGAAGGAAAAAACTTCGGAGCATAAAAATTTATTAAAGTATCGTTCAGGGATCCGTTCTTGGTCCGATGTTGTTTCTTATTTATATCAAAAAGCTACAAATACCGTTATCTTTCGTGATCTATGCGAACGATATATCTCTTATCTGTAAACCCCAAAAAAGTTCAATGAGTTCAAGTGAAAATGTTCTGACAATTATCAATGAATAGTTTTCAGTAAACCGTCTCTTCCTCAATATCAGCCAAACTCAGTGCTGAAGATTCCGGACACTGTAAAAATATTGTCAGAAAAATTCATTTGTTTCGCCCACAATTACCAGAGGAGGTGAACAAAGTTCATATAGATACATATAGATTGATCTGAATTGAAAATTTCATTGTGAAACCCGTATTGCTAATGCTAAGTTAAATACAATAACTTTCAAAATTTATAAAAATATGAGAGGTATTTTGGATCTCAGTTGATTGTTGCAGCTGTATTATGTACGAATTGAAAGTAGATTAACTCATGAATTATCTTTTTGGTGGCCATTGATCTCAACGCGTAATTTTTATTGTGCAAAAACACACATTCATTCTATGCTGGCTCTGAATTGTGAAACCTTATAAGTATAATGATTCATCAAAAAGTTTGAAAATTTCAACTTTGTCTTCTCTTTATATATTGTACATTTGTACATATTTGTTCAGGAGCATCAATATCCAAAATTAATTCAATACACAATTATGATACTAAAAATGTGCCTTTCACAACATTACACCTGGTGATAATTGACATCTACCATACAGAAAATGAATGATATTTTTTTCTATTCTATTATAGGAAGGAATCTGTTCCCAGCCACAGGATATTTGTACCTAGTTTGGGAAACTCTATGCATTATCGAAGACCGTCCATTGAATATACTTCACGTGGTGTTCGAAAATTGCAAATTTATGCGAGCCACGACAGTACCCAACAAAGGGATTCTCAAGCTGAAGGTTGTCCTTAGCACTGTTTCAGGCAATTTTGAAATACTTGAAGGTGACTCCACAGTAATGTCTGGTAGAATGTATGAAACTTATGAAGGTGTGGATGAGCCCATTTGTGGCACTCGGTCAGATGGTTCCAATCTAACAATGAAGACTAAGGACATTTACAAGGAACTAACCTTGAGGGGCTATAATTATAAGTGAGTACAATACACCCATGTGCATAAAAAGAGTCACTCTGAAATTACTGAAAATTTTGATCTCGAAAAACTTGAATAATAAATGAAAGGAAATTCAATGAGAGTAGTTTACAAATAATGACGTGAAACAGCAATATATAAGTATATAATTGGTTTGCTGCTAATGAGCCGAACATGAATGAAAATTAAAAACAAAATATAATTGTATCATTCAACCAGAAGCGTTGAGAGTTTAGGATTCGTCATTGATAATAGATTGAGCTGGTCTGATCATATCAAGCTCTCTTTTATTTTGTCTGTTCTGAGATGATGAAATGATATGGTCAGCTTGATACCCTACTTTGAATCATTTTACTCAGTTTGGTTTGGGGTCTGATTTGGGGTCATTCAGCTAACTCTATAAGTTTCACAAACTGAGTGGGCATACTTGGAGACTGGCTGTAAATCAAATTATCTAAAAGAATAATTCGTTCAGGCCAGTTTCAAATCACCTACACTGTAAGTTAAAGGACTGACACCTATCAGAAAACAACTACTCCCCTGGCTAATACCACGAAGAGCGTTGGATTATATCCGACAGCTGTCAGTGCAGGATTATTCATTGAAGTTATTCCTGCATATGCTGTTGGCGATACAACTGCCGTAATCGATTTTCAATTATTGGAACACACTTGGAGACCGGTTTGGGCTGTTTGGCCAATTGAGACTGGCCTGAACACATTGTTTTTTTAGATAATTTGATTTATAGTCAGTCTCCAAGTATACCCAAGTTTTCTTCCTTATACGAAGAATTGGGCAAATTTCGGATATGCGGTTGGCTAACTCGTTCAAAGGCTGATGGGGTGATGACAAACTTGTTGTTTGTCGTTCGCTTCAGCTTAGTGTGAGGAATGATACTCAGAAGGAATTCGATTTTCAATTATCGGAAATCATCGACTTTATGTTGATGATGGACACCACCTTTGCACTGAAGAGTGGCCAAACAGTCCAAAACCAGTCTGCAAGTGTGTTCCAATAATTGAAAATCGATGGCAGCAGTTGTATCGCCAACAGTATATGCAGGAATAACTTCAGTGAAAAATCCTGCACTGACACCTGTCGGACATAATCCAACGCCCTTCGTGGTATTAGCTAGAGGAGTAGTTATTGTCTGATAGGTGTCAGGCCTTTTTCTACAGTGTAGGTAATTTGAGACTGGCCTGAACGGATTGTTCTTTAAGATAGTTTGAACTCCATAAACCTTTTCGAAATCCAGAAAAAGGACATAAAAACGATAGTCAATGTAGGTAACAGAGAACACTGTCTTCCTTTTTTATTCAACTTGACATTATGTCACTTCCAACATTTTATATCTATAATATTTAACTTTTTCTCTACTCTAAACCGTTGAATTGGCCTAAAACGAATATTATAGAATCACTGAATAATCCATATGAACGCCTTCATCGCGACCATTAGGACATAAGAAAAATGTTCGCAGAATGGATTCCCAAATGTCTGAATGTGACTAGAAGCATACAAGGGTAAAATATCACGTTTGACCTGTGCTAAGTTTGAAAAAAATGAAAACTTCTTAAGGCGCGTTGTTACTGTGGATGAAGACCCAAAACTGCACTATAGTTCTCCAACGCCTGAGAAATTTCGAGTTCAAAAATCCTCTGAGAAAGTTCTTGTTTTAGTTTCTAGAGATTGTCAAGTGATAATCATGAATGATTTATTGGAAAAGAGGAGAACAATAACTGAGAATGACTATTTAATGTTAGTGATCGTAGAGAAAACACGCGGAAAGTTCTCCAAGGTGATTTTATTTCTGCGGAGCAATACCCCTGCACACAACTCGTGGTTTCGTATTCAAAATACTCAAACATCCCTCATATTTACCAGATCTGGCTACGTTCGATTTTCATGTCTTTCGTTAACTGATTGAGGGTCTAAAAGGTCGTAAATTTTCTTCATCAAGGAGGTGATCGAAATTGTGGAGCAACGGTTTGTGGAACAAAATCGAACTTATTTGGAAGATCAAATTTTGTTTGCTTCTGGGAACATACTGCAAATGAAATATCAGCAATCATGCAACCTACTTTTTAAAAAATTATTGAAATGTGCTCGAATTTTTGTAATCTTTTGCTTAACAGACACAAGAATTTTTTGATGTAAAATTTACATCAACTCAGATCACTTTATAGCGGCTAGGAATCAAACTATATATTTCATCAGTTCGGACTGATGAAATAACAATAAAATAAAATACAAGCAACAATTGAAAATTGAACAATTGAAAATAAATAGAAATTAAAGGATTTTAATCAACGTTACTTCACGACGTTTCGATTGTTAGTATCCACAATCGTCTTCGGGTGATGATTGAACTTATTAGAAATCACACGTTAAAAGGCGAGACCTCGTTAATCCTTAGTTCGTACAAGTTTTGACATCTGAGGATTATCGTTCGTAGGGGTGCTACAGCTGGTGAACGAAAAAACAGATTTTTTTATTCTTTCGAGAGATGACTATTTAAATGTCATTCGAGTGCTTTCACCTATTCCCTATCCCCGCTTTACTGGTTTAGCGTGAGCTCACCATTTGGCGGGAGTTGGCCGTTTTCCGATTGATTATGGGTTTATATATGTTGCGTATCTCTGCACTAGCCTGGCAGAATACGTTGTTGGACAACATATATGCGGCTTCTTCGAATTTCCTCCTTTGGATGATGTCAGCTTGGGATAACTTAAAGTTATGTTAATGAGTCCAAACATGCTCTGCTATTCCCGATTTGCTGGTTTATCCTCGTTGTATATGTTTCTTGTACTCGACAATTCGGACTTTCAATTGCCTCTTACTTTCACCGATATAGGATTTTCCGCACTCGCAAGGTATCCGGTAAATGCAGTTATTGGAATCGCAGTCCGCGTTTGGTGGCCTGGTGTTCGTGAGTCTGCTACAGATAGTGTTTCCGGATCTGAAGTAGGTTCTGATGTTGTACGTGGACCCAATTCTTCTCATCTTTTCCGACAATCCTCTGATGTGTTGAAGTGCGATTTTGATACCGAGGCTTTTGCTGTCTATTCCACCATCACTTTGGAGTAACCATTCCGTTGAAGATCATTTTTGATAATACCTAGTTCCTTCTCGAGACCTTCCTTCGTATTACAAAGCCCGAAAGAACGGTCTACTAGAATCTTGATGATTCCGTTTTGAGTGGATTAATGGAATTAGATTCGTAGTTCAGATACTGTTCCGTGTGAGTGGGTTTCCCACCTAGTGTCGGTCCTCTTCATCAATACATCTAAGAAAGGCAATTCGTTGTGGACTTCCTTCTCCATTGTGGAAGTGATGGGAAGTGTTTCGCTGTTGATGTGCTTCAGGAAAGTGTTTAGTTCTGTATTTTAATGTTTTCATGTTATGAAGGTGTCATCAACGTATCTCAACCAGACCCTGGGCTTCTTGTGGGCTTCTTCAATGGCCAGAGTTTCAAACCATTCCATTTATATGTTGGCTATAACTGGCGGCAGTCCCTCATTTTCCGTAAAGAATCCTTCCTTCAGTTGGAAAATAGCAGTTTCTTACACAGCTTCCTAGTAATTTCATGCTTACTTCTATAGGTAAATTCGTTTTATCTTCCAGGTCCCCGTCTTCGGATAGCTTCCTCTACATGATTTGAAGTGCTTGTTCGACAGAAACGTTGGTGTAAAGGCTTTCCACGCAGAAACTGATTAGTTGATCTCATTCTGTGACTTCGATTGCTCCTAGTAGTTCGACAAAATGCCTTGAATTCTTCACAGAATACAAAGTTTTCAACCTGTGGTGGAAGTTCATTACATCTCGAAGTGGAGTGTAGTAGATTTTCGATGCAGAAAAATTCGAAGTCGTTTCCACAATTTAATATCACCCTCACATCTTAAAACGGTAAAACACATGTTTGGAACCTTGATCTTGCTCTGTGACTTCGACTGCCCCTAGTAGTTCAAAAAAATGCCTTGAAGTCTTCAAAGAATATGAAGTTTTCTTTGATAATGGTTGTATTATTGGTAGTAAAAATCTAGACAAGTTTTGAGTAGCTGAATCTCTGGAGCAAATGATCGGTCTGAGCGGAACACCCTTCTTATGGATTTTGGGTAGTTACAAATGAGGGGGCTTAGTGTGGTGCGGTGTTAGCGATGATCTCTCCTTTTCCTGAAAATAGACTTGGTGTTTTTTCAAAGTCTGGTACAACTTCCTTTCAATTGATGCAGTAGGGTCTCGTACGACTTCGTGTATTTAACACTGGAGGAACACTGGTTCAGGAGGAAATTCAAAGAAGCCGCATGTATGATGTCCAGAAATGCATTCAGCCAGGCTAGCGTAGAAATACGCAACATTTGAAAATCTATAATCAGGCGAAAAACGGTCAACTCCCCCCAAACATCCAGCTCCCGCCAAACCTGGCGAAGAGGGGAAAGGGAATAGGAAATAGGTGGAAGCACTCGCCATCTTTCGGAGGAATAAGCCCAGTCATCACCCGAAGAGGATTGAAAATACTAACAATCGAAAAGTCGTGAAGTAACTTGTCTTGAAATCTTTAAATTTTTATTTTTTTTCAATTGTTCAGTTTTCAATTGTTGCTAGTATTTTATTATATTGTAATTTCATTTCAGGGATATTTTTGCTTGATTTAATTGTTATTTTCAGCTATTCATTTCAATTTTAATGATTCTTCCAGGGATCATTTTATATCATATTAGACAATACATGTCCGAACCAATAAAATTCATCATGAAACACTGTCAACCACCTTCATACAAAATCAAACTATATGTTACATGAATTTTTTCATTGGAAAGACCGCCTTTGACGCCTTCTTCAGGTTGGACCATGACTAATAAAACACCCTGTATGTTACGGTATTCGAAATCAATACAGTTTGCTATTATTATTATCATCATCAGTTATGAATGGACTGACCCGTTACTTGGATATCATGGATATTATTATCAATTAGTTGAGAAATTCCATTTCGTGTGAAAGGTTTAGTAACTTCCACCTATATTCAATCATCTTATGTGAAGTCTTTATGAAAATAGTAAAAATAATATTTTTATTTCACAGGGGTGAATTTCGCAGTATTGTTGAGTGCAATGCTTCTGCAACTGAAGGCCGAATCAGATGGCATGATAACTGGGTAGCGTTCTTAGATAATATGCTGCAAATGAAGATTTTGGGAACAGATTCCAGATTACTTTATGTACCGACATTTATCGAACGTGTTGTGATACCAGGTAAACAACTTACGAAGTGGATAATTGATGAATTCAACGAAAAAGGGTTAGACCCAATTTTACCAGTTTATAACAATAAGGAAAGTGGGGAAATCAGGTGAGTACTTGTGAGATAAACAGTAATATAAAATATTGATATTTTTTTAAATTATTTCTGGCATTTATTTCCTTAAAAACCAATAAAAATTAATAAACTATTAAAATAAAAGAAAAGATTTCTACATTTAAATTTCAGATAAAAACTCATCTACCTTTGTGGGTCGAAGAAAACTGTGTTATATCTATACACCCCGAAAAAAGCTCATTTTATAATTTGAATTCTCAACCGTCACTTTGACTTTTTTACATTTTTAAATTATAAATTATTGATAAATAATAATTAAATTATTCTGATGAAAAGCTGTTTCACTAAAATTATTTTCTTTAATGTACCTCGAGAAAGAAATTCCCTGTACCTACCGTTGATTCGTTTTTAGTGTTTGATCATGATTATGAATAATGAGCTAGCAACTAATTGACTCAATTTTTTCCAGATGTGGGCAAACTGTTATAAGAGGTTTGATAGCCAGCTCTATAGCCCGAAGGAAAGATTTGGGTGTACCTGTATTGGAAAAATATATATTCGTGCCAAATATAACCACTTTGGAATTGCAAGAATCCATCAGAGTTAATATGCAAATTTTTCTTGAAAATTCCATGGTGTATAAAGTCAAAGTTATCGAACTGATAGATGAATTCACAAAAGAGATAAATACTCCTTTGACACCTATCATTCAAACTGTTTTTGGTGATCAACCTCTCATTCAAACTTTACCTAAAATTTTAAGTGGTGAGGCACTTGATGTGGCCATTCCAGTAGAGAATAAAAAATTGTCGGAAGAAAAGGATTGTTTGCTCATAGTTGTTTCTCGATTATTCGAAAGACCAGAGGTGAGTATTTTATTGAATTATCGATTCTTCATTTTGAGAAGAAGGTACTGTCGAATAAGCTCCACTCTCTTCTTCAAAATAATGAGTGTGGTGGAAGTTCAACGTCATTTGCTAATTCGTTATATTATGAATGAAAATTTAACACACTATAAATGATAATAATTACACAATTTTCACAAACATTTAGGGCGCTTTTCGCTAATACAGCAGCTTCGAGTGTCTAGAAATAAAAAATTTTGGAAAAATTGTGTAATAATTATCATGGATAATTCATTATATGTAATTATTCCTTTGTAAAATACAGATTGTTGAGGTGTACTGTTCAACGATCATGTACATTTCTATATTCTAAAAATTTCATAGTGGAATGTTTTTATTTTCTATTACGAACTACAGCAAGATGTATGCCAACTTTTAATAATCTATAAATACAAGTAATGTCGAGTGAACTCTTTGATTTATATAGATTTTCAGTTGGTTCTAAGAAAGGTATATGAACAATGCATTTTGAGGCTTTATTTTGTAAACTACTTATTGGTTTCAAAGTTGCATTTGAATCAGTTTTCTATAAAATATAATTAAATACTGCAGTTTTGAATGAAGTGAGTCAACTTCTGATTCCTTAACGGAATATATATAGTTTCTTATTTTATATAGACACCCAATGATTGATGCAAACTTTTGTTCTAACACTAATTTGGTAGTTGTTGTCTCACAGGGCTTTTTATCAATGAACATGCATAGATATTTTTCAAAATTGAAAGTTAATTTGTGTATATTGAGCCAAATATCAATATATTTTGAATCAGCTTCCATTTGCTGGTGTATTAATTGCGTAAACTTTGTTGGAATAAATCAAAGTTGTATCGTATCACCAGCAGTTAATTTTCCAGAAACTTATAATTCTAAAATAGAATTTATATAAATGAGAAAGAGTAAAGGTCCTAATATAGATCCACAAATAATGTTTTTCAATGAATGTTTTTTATTTTTCAAAGACACCCATTGCTTTCTATCACTTGAATATATTTGAAAGCATACAATATCAAATAATTTGTTCTACATAATTTCATGGTGAATACAGTAAAAGCTATACAGAGCTCTAATGATAGGAGTCTATATTTTTTACACGCATCTATTTCTAATTGAATATAAGAGATCATATCCAAAACGGCACATAATATATCACTAGACATTCGAAAGCCATATTGACTTGGATACAAGAAATAAATGGATTCCAAATACTTCGTGATAGGAGTCGCACTTCAAAAGGTGACACCTCGTTAATCTTTAGCTCGCCCCAGTTCCGACTTCTGAGAGTTGTTGTTTTTAGGAGGGCGACAAGTGGTCAACAAAAAAACTTATTTCAACAGACGGACTCTGTTATACACTGCTCCCTCAAAAATTTTGGCTATGATAATTGGTAAAATAGAAATCGGTGTATGTAATAACTTTTTTTTTGGAAAATTGGCAGGATATTGTCAGTTTTAAATATTTGAGGAATGATTCCAGAATCAAACAAAATATAAACAGTTTTTGAAGCAAAGGTGACATGATTTTGGTTGTAATATCAAATCCAAAGACTTTTTTGTACTCAAATCATCAGTTATATTTTTATCTCATCATAAGTTATTGGCTCCAAAAAATTGATTTTGGTTAACTCATTCTTCTCATTTTCTCACAATGGTGGATGATGGTTTTGAACCAATGCTAATGAAGTAATCATTGAAACTCTCACAGAATTCACATATGAAAACACTGTTTTCTTGACAGATTTATTATAAAAGTTATAATAGAAAATATTCTTCCAAGACGCAGTTTTCTTTGTCTTCGCAAAATATTTGTCTTTGATTTTCAATAATTTGAAATATCATCTTCAAACTGTGGTTTCAAGTTTCTTTGCAATCTGATTCATTTTTCAGACCTATTCTTTCGAAAAACTCCTTCGATTGTATCGTAAATCCTATCAACATTACACGTATTCGAGATTCACAAGGTTTTTAATGGGGATACATATATTCATTTGTTCTAGTGGGATACTTATCAGCAGGTATATTCTCAGTGAAGTGGTGTGAACATTTGGCATTCATAGATATAAATCGCGTAGATTGTCATTATATTGGTGGATTTGAATACTGTTCTGCAAGTTTGGTTATAATTTAAGTTGTTGATTCCTCTTATTATTCTTTTTTGAACTATGAAGATTTTTTCGATGTTTTGATTGCTACCCAAAAAAATAATTCCGTATCGAGCAACCGATTCGAAGTTAGCCGTGTATATTGTTTTTATAGCCTCGTTGTGCAGATATTTTGATGTAACTCTAATTCCGTGCGATATTCCACTTAGTTTGTTTGCGAGGTTATCAATATGAGAAGTCCAATTCATGTTCTCGTTTATGTGGATTCCTAAAAATTTGGTGTTGTGGGACAGTTCAAACGAAGAGTTTTGAAGGTTCGCCCTATTGGATAATCAATGTACAAGTTTATTTTTATTGAAACAGTCCTTAGTTTTGTTGAATAGATCTGTACTATTTGCCATCATCTCTGGGAAGGTTTCACCACCTGATAACAGACTTGTGTCATCTGCGGAGATAGTTTTGAACTGACGTTGGTTTAGGTTTAGATTAAATGAGTCGTTCAAATAAATGACGAAAATATCCATAGAAGCTCCACTTGGTTTATATAATGATACAATTAAGATATGAGTTTTATTAATATTTACTTCTATTGCCGAACATTCTAATTCTCGTATTACTGAAAGATTTACTAACATACTCACTGGTTTAAATTGGGTGTACTTTCCACAATAAATCACCGATTCGCCATGTTTATTTAGTTCTCGACAGACATATGATGTTAATTTGAAATCGTCTTATCCTAGATATTTCAATTGTTGCTCAGTTTTCCAATGTTCAGTTGTACAGAAAAAATGGCTTGTCTCATTGTTTTTTAAAAATGTGTCTATTTTATCTACACTATTTCTTAGGGATTGAATGTTTTGATGTATAACACTTATTTTCATGGGTTGTTTATTTGATATGTCATATTTGTTTACATAAAATTTGATGGGGAGTCTTGCTGATTATAAGAGTTGTACTTGGCGAAATCATAATGTCTGAAGCCAAACCCTCTGGGCCAGAAGCTTGGGACATATATCTGATCCTTGTTGAACAACTTTACGCCGACCATGAAGCATTTTTTGCGGGATTTGTGATGGTAACTCCTTCACTACATAATCTTCATCTTCTCCTGACTTCTCCTTCAGGTAGCTCTTTATGTGAGTTGTTTCGACTTTGGGCAATACCCTGTATAAGTACATCCATGCTTTAGGTAAAGCTCCTTTGGAACCTTGGGTATTAGTTTCTTCTCCTTGTCTAATCGTTTTACTTGGTTTCATTTCTGCTTTTTTGTCTGTACTCTTTCAAAATCATCAGTATATTTTTCCGTTAACCAGCTGTCGCACCCCTACGAACGACAACCCTTAGAAGTCGAAACTTGCGCGAGCTAAGGACTAACGAGGTCTTAGCTTTTAACGTGTGATTCTTAACACGAAATCATACGTTAATAGTATTCTGAATAATCTAGACGCCTGAGTTGATGAGAGATGTGAATATTAGAAAAGTGCTATTTATGTAGGTAAAGTTCAGAATATGTATCTCTTTCATCCCTCCTGTGAAGTAGAATTTGGAAAACGACAGTTATAAAACAAGTTCATAATTTCTAAGTTTATTATTTGTTACAACCGGTTTCGGTTTGTTACACAAACATTAATAGCATTAATTATAATAATAATTCTTTGTATATTCATTCAGTTCTGATACTTTCAATATGTTTTCAGATTTTACAAACAGCATTTTCATCTCTGAAAGAAAATGGTTTTATAATATCACGTGAATCATCCGACTTTAATATATCAGATACGAAAAAACTCGATGTTAGTGTTTGTACCGTCCACAAAGTAGGATTAGAAACTCACGTTCTTCTCAAGAGGAATCATAAGCCAAGGAATTCAGTTACACTTGAAGTTAATTCTTCCAACGACTTCTCTTGGATTGAAAAAACACAAGAATTGATCAAAAATAAATCTTCCGACAGTGTGATTCTCTACTCAGATAATCGAGATAAAAGCGGTGTTTTAGGACTTGTTAACTGTCTTCGAAGAGAACCAGAAAGCTCGCATGTCAAGGGTCTGTTTGTGATGGATGAAGACCGAGACATTAATTTTGAAGATCCACTTTTTAGCGAGCAGTTGAAGAAGAACATGGCGATCAATGTTTTCAAAGATGGAGTATGGGGAACCTACAGGCATTTGTTAGCTGAAGATACTGACCAAGTACAGAATGAGCATTGTTTTGTAAATCCGAGAATGAGAGGAGATTTATCCAGCCTTTCATGGTTTGAAGGACCTCTTCGACATGATATGTGTATACCACCTGAAAGGAAACTTGTATCGGTAAGTTTGGTATAAATACTAGTAGTGTCAATAATGTGCTATCATCTTCATGGATCTGAGTAGAGCCATGAAGATGATATCACATTCTGCTATCGAAAGCGGCCGCATACCGCACATTTGTGATTTCAATTAGGAGACCTAGAATTTCTAGGATATCACGCAGGTAGCTGTAGCTGTAGCTGCCTCCGTGGTGATGTTAAGATATGATACTGGACACGATATTGTTATTTTCGATTGTCAAATGCCGACCGAAATTATTGGCATCAACTTCGGAGTATATGTTATTGAGATAATCATAGGCAGCGGTTTCTATGGAACGATCTTTCCTAAATCCATGTTGATTATTACATAGTACATTATTCGACTCTAAGTAATTTACTATTCTAGTAGCCACCACTTTCTCATACAGTTTCGAAAGAGAACAAAGTAATGAAATTTGTGGGTAGTTATTCAGAGGCTTTCTTGAACTCTTCTGGAAAGTAGCTTAGCATCTAGGATTGATTCATTAGATAAATTAGGGAAAATACAATAAGGTCAAACATTTCTTTAATAACTGGTATACCATCTGATCCACTGGAATTTTTATTTTTTATTAATCTCAATGCAGCATGAATTTCAGCTTCAGTAATTGGTTCGTTCCTAAATGAGTGAACAATATTAATATTTGTACAAAATGATGGGCAAATAGGTCTGCTACAGCAGGAGGGTGTTCATGAAGTAGAGTGATAACATTATCAGCAAAACACTTCCTTCTTCTTCCCAACTTGTTGTTTACCATATTCCACGTTCGTTTAGTTTTGTTACTGGAATTATCAATTTAAGTAGAAAAGTAACTAATCTTTTTTTGCTTAACCTTATTCATGTGTTCTTTCAGCCTAGATTTGTATACAGCCATATTACTAGGGTCAACTTCTCGATCAGTTATAATTAGATGGAACATATCTCTTAGATATTTTCCTTCCTGGGCAACGTCGTCAGAAATCCAGTTAATATTAATGTCCTTGTTTACAACAGTTTTTCCTTGGGGACATGAAATATCAAAAACACCAAAAGAGGGAATCTAAGAAAAAAAATCCATCATCAATAGTCATATCATATAAAGTTGGAAACCATATTGTAGTACTGAGTCTAGTTCTCAATTCATTAATGCTGCTAGGATTGACACGCCTTTTTACTATAACTGATTTAACGGAAAAAGCATATTTGCCCATTCGTTTTACTGGAAGTAAAACTGAAGTAATTGTTTGAAAAGGGCTTTTTCTTACAGTTTTGAAAGAGACTTATAAAGATGATTAGAAATCAAACTTTTTTTGTTATATGTCAGTGATAGGTATATCGCCAGCTGTTGTTGATATCATAATTATGTTCTTGAGAACAAAAATTTGAGTTTTACTTCTTCTTCTTTATACAATAAATTGTGGCAATAAACTTCCAATGGAAGGAAGAAAGCAATTAAGTTCAAAATAACTTCTTCACAAAGGTGTGTCATGCATAGAAGTTACTTTCAGATAAAAACTGGAAAAAAGTTCTTCCGAAACAATTACTTTCACATAAACATTGAATTACACAAAAGAAAAAATATTTCTTTCATATAAACATTGAAATAAACAAAAAATGCTTCAGCCCCGCACGGGTGTAATGGTGATACTAAATATAAATTCATTCACCGAAAACGCGCCTTTTCCCCGCGGCTGGCGTCCCAGTTGGAATATTAAAAAATCATTTTTTTCATTGCACATCTACAACATAAAAAGAACATACATACAGAATTTCAGTATCCGAAAATATAGCGGTACGGAGAAACAGGGATGAAAAAGTAATTTTCACATGTAAACGCGCCCCTCTTATCCCCAGGGAGCGTCTCAGTTGGAATATTACAAAATCCTTTCATATTGCACATCTACAACATAAAACGAACCTATATACAAAATTTCGGACCACAAGAGCTAGCCCAACTCAAATCAGCTGTCCTTCAAAATGGATTCACAGACCATTCGAAAATATAGCGGTACGAGAGATACCAGAGACGGAAAGGTAATTTTCATATGTAAGCGCTCCCCTTTCACTCCCACGGGGGGCTCCCCAGTTCAAATATTTGAAAATCCTTACTTAGTGTGCATGTTAAACCTAAGAAGCACCTGTATACCAATTTTTAGCTTCCTAGGACTCACCAGTACGGAGAAACAGAAATGAATGAGTGATTACTTTTTCCCAAAAAATAATCTCTCCTTAAATCATACCTCTTTCAATTCAAACTATGTGTGAATTAGAAAGTATTGTGGATGAGTCTATTTCTTTAAATTTCACTCTGGAAAAGATGTTTCACCAGGCGACCCTCTATGTATGAAACGATTAAAAAAATGATACAGAATCAAAATTATATTAATTGAAGTTTCTTAATGATGAATGATGATATTAAATCATTGTTTATAGAATTCAATTTTCATACCTGTCGTTGTTAATAATTTGTTAGTCTGGAATAAATGAGTTTATTTCGAACTAGTACTACATAAAACATTTCAAATATTAAAAAAATTGTGTTTAATTTCCAGGTATATTATGCATCTCTAAACTTTCGGGATGTTATGACTGCTTCAGGAAAAATCAATGCCGATATCGTTACATCGGACAGGATTGAGCAAGAATGTGTTCAAGGATTTGAATATTCAGGCCTAGATTCAGAGTGAGTATTCTATATTTGAATTGAAAGGGGTATATTTTTGGAGTCGTACTAAGGAAGAGGGACTATAAAGTGTTTGGCTGTCACGTTTTGACGTCATTGGTAAACAGTCGAATATGATGGGGTGAATTTATGGTTTAACATTTGAAAATGTTCGTAGTCAGTTGAAGCTACAGATCTATGAATGTAAAGAGTAATGACAAATATATCAAGAAATCAACAGCTGAAAAAAATTGGTAGATAGTAAGCATTGAAAATTGTCGAAATAATGAATTAGTTTATTTTTCACGCTCCTTTAATTATTTTTCCTGGTCTTTGGAATTTATAATTTCACATTTTTATATAATACTAAAATGCCTTATCTTGTCTCTTGAGAGACGAATGTTCAACTAATAAAATTCATGATGTATATTTATTTTTCATCAAAGTGAAACTTTGAATATTACTGGGGTTTCCTCCCAACACCAAACTATTTTTTTACACCTCGACACGTGTTTCGATCACCAAGTGATCATCTTCAAGAAGAAGACATTTTGTTTAATCTTCCTTTTCGAGGTGTTGAAAAAAAATAACGGTTTGGTGTTGGGAAAAAACTCCAGTAATATTCATTACTACAACAAAGGTTCTAAACAGTGCATCACAAGTGAAACTTTGATTATTTCACAGGGGAAATAAAATTATGGGAATGGTAACTCACGGAGCCCTCTCTTCATATGTTCTGATTGACAACTATATTGCTTTCTCGGTACCCGATAAATTTTCACTGGAGGAGGCAGCTACCATCCCTGTGGTCTACGGCACAGTTATTTATGGTTTGATATTAGTGAGTATCAATATTTTTCACATACATATAGTCAGTGGGTATACTTGTGGGCATACTACACTGTAGGTTGATGGACTGATACCTATGAGAAAACAGCCATTCCCCTGGCTAATACCACGAAGGGCGTTGAATTATATCCGACAGGTGTCAGTGCAGGATTTTTCACTGAAATTATTCCTGCATATGCTGTTGGCGATACAGCTGCCGCAATAGGTTTTCAATTATTGGAACACACTTGCAGACCGGTTTCGGGCTGTTTGGTCACTCGTCAGTTCAGGCTGGCCTGAACGAATTGTTCCTTTATATGATTTGATTTATAGCCAGTCTTCAAATATGCCCACTGACTATTTGTGAAAAGTGTTCTTTCTTCATACGAGGAATTGGGCAAATTTCGGATATGCGGTTGGTTACCTCGTTCACAGGTAGATGGGGCGATGACAAACCTTTGTTTGCTGTCCGCTTCAGCCTAGTTCGAGAAATGATACTCTGAAGGAATTCGATTTTCAATTATGTTGATGATAGACAATACCTTGCAATGACGAGTGGCCAAACAGCCCGAAACCGGTCTGCAAGTGTGTTCCAATAATTGAAAATCTGTTGCGGCAGTTGTATCGCCAACAGCGTATGCGCAGGAATAACTTTAGTGAAGAATCCTGCACTGACACCTGTCGGGAATAATCCAACGCCCTTCGTGGTATTAGCCAGGGGAATAGCTGTTTTCTGATAGGTCCCAGTCCATCAACCTACAGTGTAGGGAGTTGAGGCTGGCCTGAATGAATTGTTCCTTCAGATGATTTGGTTATCAAAATTATTGAAAATAAAATATTACCAAGGACTACTGTCGTCTGTATATCTTCTGTATATATAATTTGTTTCTTCTGAGAGAGAAACTTCAGTTTGTAAAAAGGTGAAGCTTCCAGATTTTTCAAATATCAACTAAGCAGACTCCTCAAATTTGACGGAAATATGGTCAAACTTACAAATCCTATACGAAAAATTAATACAGTTATTCTAAATTTTCTGTAAGCGCCTCGCATTAAACTATATCAAAGCAGGACTTTAAATGCTGTCACATTATCAGAGTCTTGATAAATAGTGTTCCACAAAGTTTCAATTTGAGAGTAGAGTCCAAAACTGTTCTGAAATACTTGACGGAAAATATAATGGGAGACCCAACAAAGAGAGATTACATGCTCCTGGATCCATAATCTCTGATTTTTGCTCGATTTGCATTTCGATAGATTATCATCCCCAAAGATACGTTGATAAACCCTTCACTTTCCATCTTCTTAAGTTTGGCTCAAAAAAAATTAGTTATACTTCCACTGTTCAACTTGAGATTGCATGCTACAGATAGATCGATGAATTTCTGCAGGTCATGATTAATATTTTCGACAGATTCTTGCCAGTTCCGGGAATGGATGAATAACATAACTTAGTGTCACCAGCTAAGAGTTAATTTGATATAAATCAGCGCTATTATCAAATCCAAACAAAGCTATCTTTCTACAAAGAAGATTATGGTCCTAGTCTAAGGTATGAAATGCCTTTGTGTGGTTCTCTTAAGGGTTCGGTAATAGTTGAACAGCTCCATTTTCAAATCCAAAGAAAGCTAACTTTCTACAATGAAGGTTATGGTCGAAAGTATGGAATGGTGTAATCAAGAAGCACCATTGTAGTGTATATCTTGAGTAATGTTGATAAGGGTAGTGATAGTACTATGAGATGCTCGAAAACAATTAGTTTATTTTTACAAATAAGTGAGTCTAGGTAGTTCTTAAGTGTAAATTAATTAAAATTAACTGCTTCAAAAATAACAGATACTTTATTGGTCTCAAGTGTGGTAGGTTGGAATATTTCTTACGTATTGGTAATGGGTATTTATTGAGTACTGAAAATGTGGGTAATATGATGAATGAAATGGTTTTCGACATCGCTACATAGTTAAAAACAAAGTCGCTTCCTGCCGTCTGCCCTTATGTATGCTCAGATCTTTAAAACTACACAACGGATTTTGATGAATTTTTTTAAATTGGTAGAGGGATTCAAGAGGAAGGTTTATACTCGTATGTATATAACATGGATAATATGGTAGAGAAACACTGGTAATTTCAGAGGTTTCTAATGTGATGTTTTAAATAAAAACATTTTTTGCGGTTACATTGCAAAAGCTGGCTGAACCCTACGATATAGATCAAAAAATGTACTACAGTATTGTAGATCTTGAAAAGGTCTACAAAAAAGTCCGCGATGGTATATGTCTATATCTTAGGGATAACCCACAATAACAATTTTTTATCCTCAAAATATAATGGCTTATTCACAAAGCGACTTCAAGCAATACAGCATTATTCCTTATCCAATCAAGTACCTTAAATACATTGTGCATTCAATATAGATGAATATGGCCCTCTACAGCATGTAATTTGAATGGATTTTTCCGAAAGTATTACAGATTTAAAATGCAGGGACATAGCGGTTACGGCGGTACCGGTCAAGGGGTTGGCGGGCGTGCCTATAAATAGCGCATCGATAAATTGTATTTTCATCTACATTTTCAAAATTAAAGATGTCATCCCAGTTGTTAGTACGCAGGTATGGAAGTTGTTAATGGAGGCATCTAGCTCAAAATTTCTGAAATCTCTGATGGATGAAACTTCTGTATAGACATGTGTTATAGATAATGAATTTTGCAAATATTTTGCAGGTGATCCGAAATGCCTATATTTAAAACATTAACTTATCACATACAATTTTTGACTATATAGTACCTATACTCGTATCAGTTGAAGAATTACTGCAATCTTGTGTGAACTTCGCTGAGTTGAGACAAATTGTGGAAAATCAAAGGAATTCAGAGAAATTCCACGGCGTTTTCATTGACACTAGATCTTACCTTAAACATTTTTTTCAGCGTGCCCAACTGAAACGAGGGGAGTCAATATTGATTCATTCTGGAACGGGTGGTGTAGGACAAGCTGCAATCAGGATAGCACTACATTATGGCTGCAGGATCTACACAACAGTTGGTACTGAAGAAAAGCGAGAGTTTCTCAAACAAACATTCCCCAGTCTGAAGGGTAGGTTTACAATGGATATACATTCGAAATATCAACGTCAGAAATTCAACGTGAATAGTTGATTTTAATTACCGTAATTGAAACAAGTTCCCAAAGGCAGAGTATCCGTGAATTTTATTACTTGCATGGTGATCTCGAAAATGGTAATATTATAGAAAAGGTTACGTTAGGTTAGGTTAGAAATGTATTTGGTAGCTTATCGTAAAACTTTGATATCTCTTAAATAAATAAAATCCTGCACAATATTTGTTTTAATTATTCTATAATTGGCTCATGTCTAGTGAATAGACATTATATATTTTATTTGAATCGTTATGACTCACGCTTCACTCGATAAAAAACTAAGGTTTTCAACGAACAAAGGGGTTAACACCTATCTGCTTATCACCATTCAAATATTAAAAATTGTGATGAACTGTCTATTTTCATTAACCATATATTTACAGACCACCACATCGGCAATTCACGTGATACTTCATTCGAAAAATTGGTTATGAGAGGCACCAAAGGTCGTGGGGTAGATTTGGTGCTCAACTCTTTGGCAGAAGAGAAACTTCAGGCGTCTATCAGATGTTTGGCGAAGGGAGGAAGGTTTGTTGAGATCGGAAAATTCGATATGGGTAAAAATGCCGATTGCAATCTATTGCTATTAGAGAGGGAAGGCAGTTTTCACGGAGTCATGGTGGATCAACTCATGCCCTTAGTGCCATGTGAAAAGGCGAGGGTAGCAGCAATACTTGAGAAAGGAATGGAAGACGGATTTGTACAACCATTGAATCGAACAGTTTTCGAATATGATCAGGTCGAGGACGCATTCAGATATATGTCAACAGGAAAACACATGGGAAAAGTTCTCATAAAAATGAGAGAGCCCGAGAAACAACATAAAGCAGTTCCAGCAGTTTTGAAGTTCCCCTGTAGGGCAAGGTAACCACAATTTTTGAAAAATTAGTTTGAAATAGTGACATTCAGTGTGAAATTCCAACTTATAAATTCAATAAGTGAAAAGCAAGTTATTTTTTGAAAATTTGTCAAATGCGTTGATTAGCACTTTGAGCCATTTAGCATTCTTATAAACATGATCCAAAAATTATAGTGCCTATTTTAAAATTTTTTCCGAGTCGTTTGCGAGAATAACAAAATTTCATCAAAAAAACCATATATGTTAATTTCATAGCTCTTAGTTTTATCGCTTTCAGTTTCATCTTAGTTTGGAAGAAGCGTTTCATTGCTGTAAAACTCGGTTTTGGTGGTTTCTCCATCATGTTTTGGTTTGAAGGAAAAAGTCGAAGAAATCATTATATACTTGATTGGAAGGGTCATATATTCTTTATATTATATAGCTTGTAAAAAAACGAACGATGGATTATGGTGTCTGTAAACCTTAAACAAACGGAGTAACAGTTTGTTGAAGGTTGGAAAAGTTCTAAACCAAATCATTCAATATTAATGGTATTTATTTTTAATAGACGTATATAAAATAGTCAATAGTCAATAGTCACAGAGAAATAGTCAAAGTAGGGCAATGATTGTTAATCCACAGTATATTGTCACTCGATAATTTTAAATTTGTCAACAGTTTTTCAGATCATGGAATTCTGAACTTGTAATATAAAGCCTGAAAAATATTCAGGGTGTTGTAATAAAAAGTAAGAAAGTTGATGTCAACCATGAAACACCCTGTATGAAAAATTTTCATTGAAAAAATGCAAAGTAAAAATACCAATCAATGTCTCCGATGTGTATCATTTGGCTGATACACATCGGAGACAGCAACGAATTCAGAAAAATGTTATATGAGAAAATTAATTTATTTCAGATACTCCTGTACTGATACCGACACGTACATTATATGTGGCGGATTGGGTGGCTTTGGACTGGAGTTAGCAGATTGGCTGGTAATCAGAGGAGCCAGAATATTAGTACTAACTTCAAGAAAAGGAATATCAACCGGATATCAGCAGTATAGGATAAAGTGAGTTTACAATTATTCACGATTCAAATAATGGTTTCACAAATCAATTTCTCAGACTATTTGAAACTAGAACCCAGCGCTATTTCGACCCGTCATCAGTCTCAACACTGGTAATAGGTCTTCAAACAAAGACGCCATCTATGAAATCGACAAAAGACTTATTTCGATCTCATGGATGACGTTTTCCCGAACAGAGATTTATTCGTCTTCAATTAATCTAGACTACGTCTGATCTCTTTCAGTCAATATAAAATTATTATATTTTGAATATTATTCATGAGATTTGGATATACATTTAATTTAATTGCAGCATCTGGAGATCATATGGAGTTACTGTTCATATCTGCAAGGCAAATATAACTACAAGGGAAGGATGCAGGTCTTTGATAGAAGAGGCACGACAACTGGGAGACGTGAAAGCAATTTTCAATCTTGCAGTTGTACTTGCAGATGCCATTTTCGAAAATCAAACCCAAGAGAGCTTTGCCACGTCATTTGGCCCAAAAGCTGTTGCAACGAAATATCTGGATGAAATATCCAGAGAATTATGCCCAAATCTCAGGTGAGTGAATTTATGTATTCATGCCTTAAGGACAATACAATGCAACACAAAAACTCTAACTAAACTTCAGAATGCTCAAATGTCTTTAGCCTCATTAACTCAATTCGCATTGCACTTTTCGAACTACACTGTCTTTCTGCATCACGGTAATGCTCATATAACCCCTCTGGAAGCTCGAAAAGACACTGCGTCCTAGTATTTTCAAGAGGGGACACAAGTGGGGCTAAGCATGACCTTGATTAAGTCGCAGTCAATTGGAGAAGCCAGCGTCAGCCGATGTCATTTTTTCAGGGGATAATTTACAACGATATGAACTGATACGTAAAAGAGTGACGGCCCAACTCATTGATATAAGATACGTAGTGCCAGAGGAAAAACATCTCAAAACCTTGGTCAATTTCTACTACATCTAAGAAAATAATTCTAAATGGCTGAATCCAAACTGGCTTCAGAGTACAAATTCGAGGCGAGAACTAAAAAAATTATAATAAGATTACCAGGCCATCGATACGTTCTTAGTAGGAACTACGAAAGGCCTATTAAATAAAAAATTATAGCCCGATGGCGTTGCTGGCTTCAACCTGAAAAATAAAATGTAGCCTCCAGTTTATTTACACATTACACATTTTATATTGACTCTCACTATTTACGATTCTGGGGTGGGGCTGAAAGTTCAGTATCGATATTGACAGAACATGAAGTTGATAATAATAGTAAATTTTTCATTGAAATTCGTAATCGTCATAAATCATTCGAGCGAGTAATGACCATTTGTCGAGAGTAGAATCTATCTTTTTTCTATGAATTAGATTCATTTGTGAGTTATATTCTCGAGGTAGTATGTACTTGTTGATAATTTCAACTTTAATTATTTTGACAATTAGGTTGTTGAAAATAATTAGTCTCATTTTGTTATCAAATGATAAACTTTAAAAAATATCAATTTCTCCGCCACAGTACAAATTTCTGGTGGTGGACACTCGTTTTCACTTTACGAGTTTTTTTATTCTCTTTCTGCATTAGAAACTATATATTTCAAAACAAACTGTCAGTTCAATAATTAAGTTTGATGTTTGAGAAAATATTTTGAAGTAGGTAGATACTTTCTAGACTTTCCTGCGATTGATTGAAAATAAATGAAAACGACTGTAAAGTTTGCTTATCTATGATTGGTCTCGTAGTTAGTGAGTTATAACTCTGGCCAATTGTGATTATTTCGAAGATGTGAGAATTATTTATCATTATGTATTTCTTTCATTATTTTCACATTTGTGAGATTACATATTTCCCTGTTATTCTCTTCATGGGGGAAAATCGTTAAATAACTCAATTCGCAGATGACACTACATTATTTTGGCATTGCTAGAATGAAAGGGAACTGCATGAATTGATCAACAGGAATTTTATGAAAATGAAAGACTGGTGTGATGTCAATCTCTTATTAGACAAATTCTATTCAGACAGAAATTTCAACTCTATAAACAACTAATTTTAATTTTTGTGTTTTAGTACCTACAAGTATTTAAAATGTGCGACTATTTCAACTTTTTGTTTAATTTACACATTTGACTGTGAACTCTATAGTTTAAACATTTTTATGAAGTAGGTACTTACTTTTATTTTCTATGCATTCACTTTTTATATTATTATATCTCCATTTATGTGTTGCATGAGAATATTTATTATTATTTATTTGATATGTAGCGTATATATTTGTACTTCCCGACTATTTTTTCACTCCAAACTTCTGAAATTACCAATAACATTTATCTTTCAATTTTTATATCTTATATTTCTTAGAGGAGATTTTATCTTCGACAATAAAGTACATTTTTATTTGATTTGATATCAATTCAGATGCTACTGAAAGCAGTAATGATTTGAAATAAACACTGTCGTTTGCAGTTGTACTAGACTCTTCTGTATTTCTGCTAAGCAGTATCATCATGATTGTTCATGATGTAACATTAATTATCTTTCAAATAATTTTCAGTGTTAAGATGCCAATAATTTTCGTATCGTAGATACCTACCGCCGCCAGTGCCAAATAAGTTCCAGGATGGAGTTCGAATTTTTTGTTTTATCGTGTCAAACATAAAGTCCCCACATGATGTAAGTTTTTATGCATAGATTTATTCAAAATTTGATTCAACAGTGAATTTGTGCTTGAGAAATGAGTAGAAAACAGACTATTTTCTACTTCAAATTTGAACTCGCTCTACGGGTTTGAACGAAACATGATTTAAATTTCAAACTTTTGATGAATAACAAACTTCGATGTCATATCTTTCCCAGAAAATACCTACATTAACTTGCTATTAAAAAAAAATGAATGCATCTCCAGAAATTCGTCTTTGTCGCAAAGTATATTGAGTGATGTCATTGATCGAATAAACGAGTTTCTCTTCTCTCTCATTCTTATTAAACTAATATTTCTTTCTTCAACAGATTTGTATCTCGTTTGATAACTTTTTTCATCAATAATTCAGCTGCAGGTGAGTTTGAAATATTTTGATGTAGTTTGCGAACGAATGATAATTTTTCGCAACGTTCGTTGAATTGATTTCATAAATTTCATATTCTTTGTTTTCACCATTAGATGTGTAAAAAACTAAATCAAAATAACTATAACCAAATCCACAACAAAACATCTCAATATTCAGTGACGCCTGTCAATTATCTTTTAAAAACCATGTATTTATCCTACAGTATGCCATCCTTTCGTTCTATACAAATTATAGTCCATTTAGTCACAGACTTTGTGGTATTTTTAATTAATAGGAGATTCATGGTAGCATAACACTTTCCTTATTTGTTGAAGGTCTGTGTTTATAAACTTTTTGTTTCATTACTTTGTCCTTTGTTCTTTGAAAACAAGTCTGGTGAATTTGGTAGTCAATAATAATAATTTCTCAAGCAGAAACTCGATGGGAAATCACAAGAATAAATCTATTAACGAAAAAACTTCCAAAAATATGTTGCGGACTTTTGTGTGACACTGTATAACATCCCGTTGGGAGTGTCTATAGACACACCAGTTTATTACATCACAAATCTATATGATATCAAAGCTTTTTGTGAAATTAATCTTTGTCGCTAAACGAGAATAAAATGTGTAACTTGATCTTAACGTAAGTAAGATGAAAAAATACGAGTATAAGCTTTTATATTATATAATGTGATAAATTGATGGGTTTCATTTCATTGAAAGTTTATTTTTCTTTGACACTCTTTCACTTTCAACAATGCATAATGGGACCGTTTTTTTCTGATTTACGACATGCACAATTGATTACTTAGTAGTTTCATTATAAAGGCTGAATTTTTCTTAAAAATATTTTCGATTTTTGTCTACTTCATAATTAAATTTCAAATATATCTAAAACTTTCACTCTTCATAACTTTTGTTCGAAAGCTGGGTTGTTTATTCGGAAAATCCTAGATGCTACCCATTTCTTTTAATTCTGGCGTGTTTCCTAAATCCTACCGGTAATTGCTGTTATAAGATTTTTAAACACATGATCGTGGGAAGATTACTTACCTCATAATTTTCTTCCTATTCAACAATTTTCTGTACTGATATGATCAAATAACATAAAATAAATGTGTCCGAAAGTATGAGGAAAATCTTGTGAAAAGATGTGTTGAAGATGTGTTCCTCATGAGTATTTTCAGAACATAAAAACAAAAAGTTTCTCTATAATTACACAAAATTGTAAATTTTGAAGTGATAATTGCCTTCTCAAATGTACTTCAGGTGGGTTTAGTAGCTGAAATGCAAGAAATAGACTGTGAATTAGAAATAGGTGGAACTCTTCAACAGAAGATTACAAATTGTCTGAACGTTCTCGACGGTTTTTTGAAACAGAAAAAACATGCCATATTATCCAGTATGGTGGTTGCTGAAAAACGTGGTGTGGATTACGGTGACAATATTGTTGATGCTGTGATAAGTATTTTGGGTAAGTTTTCGTATAACTTTTATTCGAACGTATTTCGTAGTAGAATCTTATAGATTTTTGAACAAGAGAGAAGTTATCAGAAAATTCGTGATAATGATATTTGCATTGCAATGAAGACTCAAAAGCTAACAAATCACCTCCGTTTACTATATTCAACAGGTGTCAGTAGTTCGAAAATGGTGAGTCATCATGCAACTTTGGCTGAACTAGGAATGGACAGCATGACAGCAGTGGAAATAAAGCAGACCCTGGAAAGAGAATTTGAAGTATTTCTGAGCGCGAAAGACATGAGAACTATGACGCTGGCTAAGTAGGTGAAATTTTTTGGTATTCTCATAAATAGATTTTTTTCTTTATGGAAAGGTGGTCTGAATGTAGGTTTTGGTATCTTCCTGACCAGACAAGTTCAGAACTGTCTGAGAAATTAGAGTAGCTCAGAAAGAGTTTGAAGGGATCAGTTCCAGAGAGTGACGAGGAAATCTTTTCATCAGTTCGGACTTCCATTGTCTAATACGATATAAATTGATTTTAAATCCCTGAAAGAATCTGTAAAAAATAAAAAAGATTAGCTGAAAAAACAATTTTATCAAACAAAAAACTGAAATTACAATGAAATAACATACAAGCAACAATCAAAAAACGAAAAAAACAAAAAAAAATTGAACTATTAACACGAGCTGAAAAATTAAAAAATTATTAACAAGAAATGAAAATTAAAAATTTCGACGTTTCGATTGTTAACATCCACAATCGTCTTCGGGTGATAGCTGGGACTTATTCTTTCGAGATATGACTATTTATAGGTCATTCGACTGATTCCACCCATCCCCTCATCCCTCTCTTCGCTTCATTGGTTTTCAGCGGGAGCTGACCATTTGGCGGGAGTTGGTCGTGTTCCGCTTGATTATAGGTTTCCATATGTTACGTATCTCTACGCCAGCTTGGCTAAATGCATTGTTGGACAACATATATGCGGCTTCTTTGAATTTTCTCCTAAACCATTGTTCCTCCTTGTTGATGATTTCAGCCTGAAGTTACTTGATGTTATGTTGATGAGTCCAAACAGGCTCTGCTATTCCGGATTTGCTGGTTTCTTTTCGCTGTGTGTGTTTCTTATACTTGACAATGCGAACTTTCATTGGCCTCTTAGTTTCACCGATGTATGATTCTCAGCACTCGCAGTGTATCCGGTAAATGCAATTCTTGGAATCGCAGTCCTCGTTTGGTGGCCTGGTTTTCGTGAGACTCCTACGGATAGTGTTTCCAGATCTGAAGCAGGATCTGATGTTATACTTGGACCCAATCCTTATTCTTTCCGACAATCCTCTGATGTAGGGAAGTACAAGTACTGGTTGTGGCGGCTTCTCTTCCTTGTGGAGCTCTTGCTTGAAGGTCATTTTTGATGATGCCTAGTTCCTTTTTGAGACCTTCTTTTGTATTGCAGAGCCCGACAGCACGGTCTAGTAGAGTCTTGATGATTCCTCTCTTAGTCGATTGATGGTGTACAACAAAACATTTAGCCAAGCTAACGTTAACATATGGAAACCTCTAATCAAGCGAAACAGGACCAACTCCCGCCAAATGATCAGCTCCAGGTAAAAACCGATGAAGCGGAGAGAGGAAAGAGGGGTTAGTTGAAAGCAGTCGAATGACCTATAAATAGTCAGATCTCGATGGAACAAGTTCAGTTATCACCCGAAGACGATTGTGGATATTAACAATCGAAACGTCGTGAAGTAACTTGGTTTGAAATCTTTCAATTTAATATTTTTAATTTTCATTTCTTGTTAATAATTTTTAATTTTTCAGCTCGTGTTAATAGTTCAATTTTTTTGGTTGTTGCTTGTATGCTATTTCATTGTAATTTCAGTTTTTTGCTTAATAAAATTGTTTTTTTAGCTAATCTTTTTAATTTCTTACAGAATCTTTCAGGGATTTCAAATCAAATTATATCATATTAGACAATGGAAGTCCGAACTGATGAAATACACCACGAAACATTGTCAACCACCTTCAAACAAACGAGGAAATCTGTTGAAATCTGTTTTACCGTTAACCAGCTGTCTCATGCCTATGAACGATAACTCTCAAAAGTCGAAACTTGTGCGAGCTAAAGACCAATTAATAGTAGAGGAAACCGTGGAAATCGACCTTAACCCATCAGATAACTTGATCATTTATTAACAAACATGTCTATGAAAACTTGCTTATCAAAAAGTAGAGCGTCTGAGGCCCGTGTGATAAAAAAAGACACAAATTAGCATCTCCACGCTACCTGACCGTTGAATGTATCCGAGTGCACATGTTCGTGTATATGTGAGTGACAGAGACAGCATTTGTTTACACTCGACAGTAATTTTGAACTATAATTTATTATAACTCTAATTTCAATCACAATTTTTGTATTTTGTATGAGGTGATGTAAAAAATTTACAGGTTGAAAAAAATTCAGGAGGACAGGAGTGCTGAGACAGGCGAACAAATAGAAAAACCTTCCACGAATTTTCCTATGGACATGATTTTCAGAATATATGGCGATGAAAAGGAATTAACACATACTTATCTTCAGTTCGAAGCAGACGAGAAGAAAAATGTGTCGTCCACTGTTATTCTTCTTCCTGGTATTGATGGATTTGCAAGAGTGTTCGAAACTATGGCTAAGAATTTGGACTATCGATCAATTGCCTTACAATATACATATAGGGAAAAACCGGAAAGTGTTGTAGAGATGGCACAGTTACTGATACCGGTAAGAATATTATCAATTCGTATTTGAGTAACACTTTATTATAATATTTTCACTAAACAGTTCACAACATAATATTTAGTTTCGATACATTTTAATTACAAAGCTAAGATGTTTTCTATTTTCTTCGGACACCTCCTCTCTTCTTAATGGCGAAAATGCAGGGCTTTGAATGTTTTCCATTAAGTATATATGTCTGATAAAATGTGTATAATATTTAGACACTAATTTATTCACCTTTCTCCCATTCAGTACTTTCAATTTTGCGTAGTTTAGATGCATATATTCGTGGACAATTCGGAACAAATTTTATTTCAAGTTGAAGCCACAATCCTCTATTAATGCGAGTAAATAAGTCATGGTACGATGATTGATCATTACATCAGACAATTTCACGCATATTTTTGCATATAGTATGATTTTCAAATCGATTCATTTTTTAAACAAAGAATTTTGTTGGTTTTACTGGTTGTGCAATATTCTTTATTGCAACAAATCATGAGTTTTTTGATGTTTTGAACTGTCAAAATACAATGATAACAGCTTCCTATGATTGATGCTTGCTGACGCTGGTTATGAATTCCGTATCATTGAAGCGAGCACAACCCATATCAATAAAAAAGAAAAAAAAACAATTTTCTACCACTTGTAGTTACTTGAAAAAACTTATGTAAAATTGAAGAATATACTATTTGCTATGTTGAAATTGTATTCCCATGCAACTACAATGATTAGAAATTACCAATTTGAATGCCTAAATAATTGCTGCCAATATGACGCGGTGTGAATCTGTTCAAGCAGCTTCCAAAAAACCTCTAAAACTATAATTTTCTACCACTTACAGTAAGCTCAAGTAACTATGAAGTGAAAGAATATTATATTTTTCGTCCCTAAATGGCACTTTGGGGCTACTAAAATCAGTAGAAATCAATAGTTTATAGGTTAAGAGTCCATTGGTATGAAGACAAACTGAATATTATAATGTAATCTGTTCCTGTAGGTATGTATCTATAAAACTACTATTTTTTTCATTTTCTACCACTTGTAATATCACGGAGTAAATAAAAAATCAAAGAATGTAATATATTTCATTATAAAACTGCATTACCGTGTAACTACAATAAGCAGAAAACAATATCTTAAAGGCCAGGCTGAGAAGCCATTACATGGCCAGTACCGAAACTTCAAAGCACATTAAATTTGATAATAACTTTGATTATAAATTGATATAAAATAGAAGATTATGTTATATTACGCTTCAGATTGCCATTTTCATGCAACTACAATGATATTGAACTAACGCAATGTAAATTTGTTATATTTGGCTAGCTAGGTTTGCAGTACTTGGAAAATAACAAAAAAATAGATGAGTTTTTGGTTTTTTATTTTATATGAATGGTTACAAGAAGTAATAAACAATCTTATTATTTTGATTATTGTAATTATTGTTTATATGAAATACGCCTTTATTATAAACTATGGCAGGTTGATTGGAAGTAGTTGCTTGTTCTTGATTCAGAGATTCTTGAATCGTCTTTGCCAAATTTGAAACATTCCTCACTGCGTCAATTATTTTCTGATGATGGCCCGAGTCTATTTGCAGATATGGTTTTATTGAGTGGCTGCTACCATGACCGGTTATTTTAATCAATTGCTCTTCTCCAATTTTCGTTTTGGCTAAAGTTGAAACAGCAGTGGCCCTTATAGAATGATTTGTTATTTTGATCTTTTTAACATCAATTCCAATGAATGATGCAGCTGATTTGAACCAGGAAGATATTGTATTCTGTCCATTCTGTCTATTCTTATACCAGCCTTCGGAACTGTGATTCTTCTAGTTTGGATTTGGCGTCAAAAATAAACGCTTCGTTTTGATGGAGCCTGGTTGCTTGTTAGTTCTTTGAACAGTCTCGCTGGGGATAATTCTTCGTTGAGTGTATTCGGTACTAGCCACTTACAGTCAGCTATTTTCTTTGAATCGCCTTGGGTGATTTTGGAGAAAACCGGCCTGTTGGTTTCCCTCTATTGTCAATTTCCTCCACAAAATATTTGAGTTGTGCTGCCGCTCCTTCATTTTCTCTTCAGGACAATCCATGACCAGCAACCTAGAAAAACCTTTTCTGCAGTCTTTCCGGAGTGTTTTCGTCCCAAAGCTCAATAGTTTTTCTCAGCTCGTCTGCTGATAGTGCAGATTAACTTTCCTTTCTCTTGGTTGGATCCATTTGTAGCTTCCGGCGCTTAGCATTTTTTACAGCACTTGCATTCAAAAATTCTATGTCAGAGAAAGTATTAAATTTGCGATTATACTTTTCAAAAAAATATTCCTGCAATTGCTTGGCTGTGGAATTTCATAAAACTTTGATAACACTCTCCTTGTAGTCTTCGAAGTTCTTTTTTCGCATGTTGAACCCATAGTCTTCAAGAATAAGCGCCAGTTCTTCGGCAGGTATATCCGCTCTATCGAAATTATACGATTTTTCTGCACAAAAGTTTCTAAACTGCCTCCATACGCTTGACTTCGATATCCTGGTATTCGCGGGTTTCAACTGCTCAATCTCCCGGCGAATATTTTCTTTAATTTTCTTGATCGAAGCGAAACATTTTTTACGTCGTGCCGCTCGACAGCTTCAAAACTGAAATAATAATTTCGAGATTAGGGTTTCACTTAGTTACCATGGCAACTCAACAATCTAGTCGACCACACATTTTGTTTCGCTAGTGACTTGATGAAGAAAATGATTTGCATTGTTGAGAATTGAAAAATAAATTTTAAAAATATTTGATTTTCCACCACAATTCGGTGTGGAATTTTCTTACCCAATACCACATGAGGTCAAATCAATATCTGCAAATTTTTTCTTGTTCATGAATATTTTTAGAAAATATTCATGAGCTCGAAATAGTTTTGACCTCCAGTAGTATTACTGGTGAAAACATTGTTGTTAAGGTTGTGATTCTAAGTATTTTATCATAATATTTCCTCAACTGATTAGTATAATTTCCGTACACCACTGCAAGAGACATATTAAGAGGATTTAATGTCTACTATTTTGGAATTATAGCAAATCTAATATAATTATTCTACGCACTTTTTCAGGCAATAGAGGAACAAATATCTCGTGGAAAACATTTCACCATCGTAGCATATTCATTCGGAAGCGTTATAGCTTTGGAAGTCGCCAATATTCTAGAATCGAAGAATTACAAGGGGACCCTCATTTTGATCGATGGTTCACCTGCAGTTGCTAAACAAATGTTCACTGAAATAAATGCGGAATCTGCAGAAATTCTGGAAACCTATCTCCTAAGTCATCTGTTGTCATTTTATCTTCCTTCATCAAGTGTCACACAACATCAGGTATTTATCCATTTATTTATTTATATATAGGTAAAACATTAATACAATTTTTTGGATTATTGAATTACTATTCAACTCCTAAGGAACATAAAATTCGTGCATAGGAGGGAAATCGGTAATGACTTAAATAGTTAATCTAAGCTAGTGGAATCTATCAATAAAATACATTCTGTACACAATCAACAGTAACACTCACATTATCATTATACCAAACCATGAATATTGAAGTCAACAAATATTATAACCTCACAATTATTAGCTATATTACAGCGCTTTTGATACAACATATAATCAGACTACTGAAACAAATATCTGCTCGAAATAACTAGAGTAATTTAGTGACCAAACATTTTTTCCATGGCAATAATGAGCACCCCTCACCTCTTTCTTCACCATTATAATAGATTCAGTTAATAAAATCACGTCATAATGAGAACAACAATCAGCATGTTTGAAATTCACACGTTTAATATACATGCCACTCATATTTTGATGATATACTTGATACTTGAAGTTTGTCTAGATTATTTCAAGATTCCCATATTGTATAGTTATTTACTCTCGGAAGTACTCCACGCACATACTCAGTTGTAAGATCCCTTTCAACATTTTCTAGTCTCAGTTGAATTTCCTTCCGTAGACAGGGTCGTCTTAGACTATGTTGGGGCCTTGGGCACACAATAATTTGGGGCCCTTTTGGAATGTAAAGAGAGCGAACCGAACTATACATTTTCTTTCACTATGATCTGCTTTATTAATCCAATATATTTTGATAATACAATATGTAATTGATTATATTAGTGTGTATGCTGCTGTTTTTTTATTGTGATTACGATAATAATTCATTTCAAAATATCTGTTGAGCAAAATCTTCTCTCAAATCCTCAAACTCAATTTTCTGAAGAATATCACTTGCTCATAATTGACAAAGTATTTAGCCGTTCTTGTAACATTGTTGTTCGCAATTCATTTTTTATTCTCTTAAGGTGCGAAAATGAACGCTCCCCAATACAATTGGTAACCATTAGGCAAAGGAATATTCTTTTAGCAACTTCAAAATTTGGAAAAGTTTCTTTTGTTATGTAAGGCTGAGATATTCAATTCTGTTGACTGCTTTGCCATATTTTTTAGATATTGGCTTAAATGAAAACAGTCTGTTTTGAGGTCATATACATTAATGTCTTCATGGTAAAATTCTGCAAATTAGTTGTATTTCTTGGTCAATTCATCAGATTCGATTTTTGGTTATTAACAAAGAAAACTAAATCGATTATTAATTTCTTGATATGCTGCCGAACGTTTTTTTAAATGTGTAATTAATGTGTCAATTATGGGAATGAATGTATTTACACGAAACTTTTCATTGCCTCTCAACTGGAAAGTCTTTGATGATCCTTCAAAAAAAGTGAGGTTTATCTTGGTAATCAGCATCTGGATTTTTTCTTTAGCAGCTGTTTCATTCTGATCAAAATTATTGCTTGTGTTTTTTTGACATAACTGATCAGAGATTCGTAAAGTTTTGTTATAACGTCCATAGTCATAGTGCTATTCTATAAACTCAGACTTGTTTTATTCATAATTCCCAAAATGTCATCCCATATTTCTGTTAGAAGCGCAGTCTCCAATTTTTCCATTTTTTTCTGCTAGCCTTTGGGCTTCAATTCTAGTTTCTCCTGGTTGACTGTTGTCACTTGCGATGGAGGACAATACTTGAGAAATATTTAAATGATCATTTCGCAAAGCATTAATAGCATTGGCATGTGCGGACCATCTGGTTTCCGAAAGAGACTTCAGGACACTATGAACACCTAAATGCTGTGTCAATATTTTCCATCGTTTGGTGGAAGCTGAGAAAAGATTGTAAAATTTTTGTACAAATTGAAAGAATGCGTCTGTTTCAGTAATACACTCAACAGCTTGAACACCCACTAAATTTAACGAATGTGCCGCACATGGAACGTAAATTGCATATTCACATACTTCTTTTATTCTAGACTGGCCACCAGAGTACTTTCCAGACATATTTGATGCATTGTCGTAGGTCTGCCCGCGGCAATCTTTTATGGGGATATCAAGACTTTCAAAAAAGTTTAAAATGATATCTATATTTTGCGCATTATGTCCGTCCATAGGCAAAACTTGCAAAAATATCTCAATAGGCTGTCCGTCTTTTACGTATCTAACGATGAAAGTGAGCTGATCAAGGTGGGACAGATGCGGCGTAGAATCTACGCTAATAGAGTAGTATTTTGCTGATTTAAATTCTTTGACAATTGTTTTTAAAACTCGGTGTCCCATTAAATTAATAAATTCATTACAAATATTTGTAGATAAATATGATACACTTCCTTTTTCACGATTTTCGTAGTTTTGTATGTGATCAGCAAGAAACGGATCAAATTTACTAATCTGTTTAAATCTGTTTAAAATCTGTTCTGTTTAAAATCTGTTTTTCCGTTAACCAGCTGTCGCACCCCTACGAACGACAACCCTCAGAAGTCGAAACTTATGCGAGCTAAGGATTAACGAGGTCTTACCTTTTAACGTGTGATTCCTAACACAAGTTGGACGATAGCAAGTGAAGATCGATCGTTCAGACTAGTGCTTGAACCACCGACCAACACGGCAGTCAATTCGAGTGAGTGAACAAAGCACCCACGCCGAACCGCTTGGCTACCGACCGACCAATTCTAAGCATCCCAAATAATTTCCATTATTTTGCGATCCGAATGTCCCATTATCACCACGAAAAGGAAGACCTCTTGAAGCTAAAAACTTTACTACTGCAACATTTTTCCAATACTAACTTCTGTATTATATTGGGACCACAACTCACTATCAATTCGTCCAGTAGTTTTCATTCTTGTAACATAATTATTCATCATAGAGTATATGTGTTGCAAACTGTTCTCATGCTACATCAATGAGTTACTTATATGCTTCCAATCCTTATATCCATTTGGAGTCAAATTATATCCAGTACCAACAGTGGTATTAAATAGACGGCAGCAATAACAGTACACAGATTTCTTTGCTGGGGAATAATAAAGGAGCCATTTTCTGTCCAAAGACTCAACATTCGATAATTTACGATTAAAAATATTTTTTGTCAAGTATTTAGTTTTTGTTTTACCACATGAATTTGGAAAACTTGTAGCAGTTTCGAAGAAGTCACAATGTTTATTTTGGAAAAACTCTGGCCCTTTTCGTATCCAAATATTACGGACTTCTTCCGTTAAAATGTCGTCACAGTAAGAACCAGGGTCATGAGATACAGATGCACTATCCAAGTTTGCATATTATCTCACAGTTGCTTGAAGTCGAGGGTTCAGCATTTGATGTGCGTTTGTCATTTTCCTCACACTTAATAACCTCCTTTTCCTGGTGATAATCAGAGGTATTATCTTGAGGTGATGATGATGAAGAATTTCCCAACTTATTTGTTTCTTCCACCGTAAAAAACGAAGTAAGCTTAGGAAGTTTTTCCGTGATTTCTTTTTGAGCTATAACTTTTTATCTACGTATTAAAACTCATTGATACAGTTTACTGCATTCATTCATTCATTCAATACAATTAACTGTATTAATGAGTTTTAATCCTGATAACCTTTCTGATGATCACAACCTTTCTGATAATAACACATCAGGAAACTGTACTAGGCATTTTTCACAGCACCAAGAGGAAGAATGCATTTCAAGGCTTCACTTCGTAAACTCTTTGAGGTTTAAAAGTTGTATTTGTATTCATATTCTTCAGAGAAATATAACATATTTTATATTGTATCCAAATAGTTTATTGAATCAACTAAATCACCCTTCTAAAGTAACTATTATAATTGAATCTTGTCGGTGATGCTGATGATTTATTTTCAGGAGAATCTGCTCAAATGTCCATCGTGGGATGCCAGAGTCGAGATGGCCAGCAACTTGGTTGGAGACCGAGCAAGCTACGGAATAGCCAGTCGAAAACTATTTGCTAACGGTATATATAATAGAGTGAAAGCAGTGGGCACGTATACACCATCATACAATAAAGTGAAATCTACAGTGAAATTGTTCAAACCATCCGAGACGAACATTCGTGGTTACGATGAAGATTATGGTTTAAGTGGTATTTGTGAACAACCAGTGGATATAAGAGTTTTTGATGGAAACCATGTGACGATTCTAGATAATTTGAAGCTTGCGAGCACTTTGAATGAGTTGATTAATGCCAACAACCTATTAGATGGAAGCCAGAACTGAACAATATTCCGTACTGAAGCTGACATTTTTCATTACACCGTGAACTTTTATTTAGTGATGTTACGTAATTTTCCTTCATTATTGCGTTCAAGGTAAACATCACTTGTGGTGTTTTTGTTTTTAAATGTCGTGAGTCGAATTGGAAACAATCGAATGCATTGATATACTGCTTTAATTCAATTAATTCTCTGTAACTTACTCTTTCATGCTCTTCATGTTCATGAACATCTATAGTTGCTGGACTAATCTATATTCTTTCATTTTTCGAAAGAATTATGTCAGTGTCCGAATTTTTGTTTTGTACTCCTAAGTCATAGAACACTTCCTCGTTGAATTTTCATTATTATCAATCAGGCAATCTTCGGCTAGTTGTATTTGGATCGTGACTGATATTTCCCGTTTTGTAGACAATGTTTCATTTCATGAATAAAGTTAAATTTGTATTTTTTCTGCATTTTTATTCAACAATCGAATAGAAAAATTATTTCAGTCTTTCATCTTCTTCGCGTAAGCACGAGAGAAATAATTGGAAATTTCTAATTTCCAGAATGAAGCTGAAATATTTTTTCTTTTCAAAATATTATGTCAGGTTTTCAGAAATATATACCTAATAACAATAATAATAATTTTCATCAATACCAAGACACACGAATGTTTATAACAGGGATGAAAATTGAATGATAATCAATAGTAACGATTTATTTTTTTCAAAAAACACACGTTTATATCAGAAAAAAATGATTGATAACACTTTGCGACTCAAAAAAAATGATTATCAACATCGTATGTGTGTGGGTGTGTGCGCGGTTGTGTGTGCGCGCGCACTGCGCGTAACAGGTCCGTTCAAAGAACAGTAGTAGAAAAATGGACCTATATATATGCCTAGAAATAGACCACACCAAATATTAATACTAAATCGTCTTTGCGGATTATGGAGATGGACTAGAAATGAATTATGTCTACTCCAATAATGAAAACTTTTTCTATTATACATTCCACAATTTGAAAATTAGCCATATCGCTCCATATAATATTTCTATAGAAGTTTGGATCTTGTCTGCATTTATTCATAAACCACCGGCAAAACCCCAATCGTGTCTCAGGGTCACCAGGTTCTAGTGTTTGCACTGATCTCAACTTATAAGGAGAAATCTTATGTTTCCTTAGAATTCGTTGAATAACAGATGGTGTATTTAACTCATAGTTGGCTAAAACGTCAATTTCTGTAGGTTAGGTCCAAAGTGAGTGGGTCTATTCGACCTTCCACCGCAACCCGCAAGGATTTATTGTGGCTCACACCTATTCACACTCGACCAAATAAACCCAGCTTCTTGACAAAGCCGATTAGTTTGTATGGTGAGTGATCTTTCAGGTCAAATGGTAAGAGAACGGATCTGCCAAACTCTAAAAAAAAATTATGAGCTATGCTGTTTCATTTTCCAAACAGAGGTGACAAACACTGTCTTCCGACAATCCGAGTCTCTGCATATGATGATTAAAATGACAGTGACCTGTAAGAAGGCCTGATAGACATCGTAGTTTATCCCTACTGTTGTCCAACAACTGTTTAGTATCAAGCTTCGAAAAGTGAATGAACGCCTTGGAGTGAGCCAATCCTGGAAGATTCTGCCAGAAGTGCATAAATCTTCTTGCCATCCAGGTGTTCAATTTTTTTTGGCAAAGCCTGAAGCGATGCGAAAAACAGGTTCTGGTCCGATGAAGATGCTTGCAGCAAACTCCTTTGCAAGGGAGTAAGCAGCCAACGCCGCTTGACTGTCCAAGAATATTTTTATTGACCTGTGTATGAGGTTGGATTCTTCCAATCTCTCCGCACATAATTCAATAGCGTAAATTTCCGCTTGAAATACAGTAAAGAGATAGGTTTATAACTCCATTCTGGCTATGCGACTGGAAATATCTGCACCGAAACCGAAACGTGTTTTTGGTCCATCTGTGAACCAACAACTATCTGCTCTCAATATTTTCTCTTTCCGGAAGATTGCGACTGGAAATATCTACACCGGAACCGGAACGTGTTTTTGGACCATCTGTAAACCAATAACTATCTGCTCCCAATATTTCCTTTTTCCGGAAGATATAGTCCTCTCTACTCGGGAACAGTACTTTATAAAGCATTTCGTAGTCATTTTTTTAATGCTGTGACTTCCAACCAACAGTCTGTTTCACTCTGCATTGCCTGTAATTTGATGAATTATAGCCGCCCATACATTTGACAGCAATTACAAAACAGAACAAAAACATGTGATTATTAACTTGCTGTTCTTGATTGACATCAAGACATTATTTTATTTTTTGAAGGCATGTAACAGGATGGCATTGGGAATTGATCCTACGGAATGACCATTCAATTCCAGTAGAATTTTCTAAATCTGTTATAAGATTTGATTAACTTGTTTCTAGTTTCACACATCCCAAGACACATTTCAGTTGATTGGTTCTTAACTACGAGTCCGTAGGACGAGTAGTTTTATCTACTACTGTTTGGTCGATTAATATTGCTCGAATATACCAAAGTTTGAGTTTGAAAATTTGGACATTTACCTGAAAACATCTTTAGGTCGAGTACTGTAAAAGCAAATTATCAATTTTCGAATTGAATTAATTTCATTATTTATATAACCAGCAATTTCAACAAGAACATTTGTTTAAAAGTACAATTATTGAGGACACAATATTCGAATATATGTACATAATACGTGAATGACTGACCTATTATTGTTCATCAGTAGGATTTCATTATTGATGAGACCACAGAGCCGGCACTCGAGTCACCCGACTTACTCGACACAGCTAGACGCATAAACTGTTCGTGGCGTATTCTTTTCTATTTCAATTACTATTATTTAGAATGATGACCAATGAGATTCGATTCAGATATTGGAATTTCTGAATATTATAAATAACCTATTGGTCTCAGTAGAGTTAGGGTCTAGTCACTGTCATGATCAAATTAAACCTGTGAATTTTTCTAAAGTATTAACGATAAGTTTTAATATTAGGTCATAGTCATATTTGAATATTTGTTTCCATTGGTTCAATTTGATGAGGACAGTGACAGTGATTGAAATGGTGGAAATGATGCATGAGCAGAGCCGGTTTTAGGGGAGGGCAGATGGCCTCCACAGGAGAGGGGGGCCCACAATGAAGATAAATACAAATCCAAATTTTGACGGGTTAGAAAATTTTACGTTTTTCCTCCCAAACATTCTTTTTCATTTCCACTAAGAATACTAGCACAATAATAATAATAATAATATTATCGATATCGATTAAAATGAAATAACGGCCCAGTCCCATTAAGAAAAGCAATAGAAAGGTTTGAAGATCAAAAACTAGAAGTGAAACCAAATCGTGAAACATCAACTGCTGAAAAAAATTATATTTTTCAGTATGACCCTGATAATTATTCCTGTGAAAGTAAATACGACTATTACAAATATTTAGAAGATGGAATTTTCATTAACAATTGAAACCAGAGTAAAAAAATATTTAAATTAAAATCAAAACTGAGAAACACAAAAGCTATACTGTTAACTAGTGAAAAAGAAAAAGTTAGGCTTCCAAATGCTCTTGTAAAAATAAATGAAATGAATAAAGAGAATTTTTAGTTGTAAATGGAAACGCAATTGAAAAATCTATTGATTTCCCAGACTTACAATTTGAAAAATTCAATGAAAATGAATTTCAAAATGACTTTCGTGAAATTTGTCGAAATTATTCAGGAGAAATAAAGAGCATGCTTCGTTTAGAACACCTAAATGAAGGAGAACGAGAATTAATTGTGAACCTTTGTTTAGAATTCTAAGATATATTTCATTTAGAAGGAGATCCATTAACATTCACGAGTGAAATAAAACACTCTATTAAATTAAAAGAGAACGCACAACTGGTCTTAACGAAATTTTATAGGTATCCACACGTTCATCAAAATGAAGTGAAATCTCAAATTTCAAAATTATTAAAACAAAATATAATACGATCATCAGTCTCACCTTGGTCAGCCCCTGTTTGGATAGTACCTAAAAAACTTGACGCATCTGGAAAACAGAAATGGCGCGTTGTCATGGATTATAGAAAATTGAATAAATTCACAGTGGACGATAAATATCCTCTACCTAATATTTCAGACCTTTTAGAACAGTTAGTAAAGTGTTAATACTTTACAACAGTCTCTTCAATATCAAAATATCTAGACATATTTGAATTACAAGCATCTCAAGCAGATTAAAGGCTTGTCTTAATTTTGAAAATGCCAATTATTAGAACCCGAATTGTATATTGTTTATAGATTGTACCCCATTCCAATTTTGGACAATCGAACAAGGTAACATCATGTTTTACATATTTATGCAGAAGATTATGATTCAATGATGTATGCTGCCTTTGAAAATTAAAGTTTATGTAAAAACCTGAATTGAAATTTTGATACATGCGAAAATGTAATTTCATACGCAATTGATAGTAACGCAATGTGTGAAGCTCAAATTTCAAGACCAATTTCAGAAGTTCCTAGAATGTGTTCAATTTCACTTTTATTTGCAAAATATTTTGAAATGAATATTCATCAAATCCAAAGTAATATTTGGCTAATTGCATTATTAGACCTTTCAGATGTAACGATTAATTCTTTAAAATGTGAGGTTGAAACACGAATTATAAACACAAATTCAATTCTAAAACTCCAAGCTAATTGTAATTCTCTTATTGGAAACACAAGAGTGTATTAAAAAGTGCTTGTGAAAAAACAAAATGTGACTTACAGAAGTCATCCGATTTTAATACCATCAATTTTGTAAAGATTTACCAGAAATAGAAAGCTTACCACATTTGAAACCTTTAAAATTGAGCAAATCAAATGTAGATAATCTCAATATTGCTCAATATGAATCAGATCAATAGATAGATTAGATAAAATCATAAATGAACTATTCGTAAACCGACATGTTCCATGGTTTACTATTTACACAATTCTAATAATTGTACCATTGATAATACTGTAACGAATTAAAAAATTAACTGTCTTGAACAAATTCATTTATAACAATATTTCATTATCACAACCAATTTACATTCCGCACTTAGCAACCAACGCTTAATTTATCTTCACTGTTCGAATTCTTCATTTAAACGCACGATTCACTTTCTGAATACAGAGTGCCATCTCGGGACGGGAAGCCGGCTTTTATATCGGCAACGATCACTCCTGATCTCTCTAGTCGTTTCGGAACTCATCTATACTCTTCGCGGCGGTTCGCAGCGGGTCATGTGTTTGCTGGCTGAGATATCGGTCAGGGCCGGTTTCAGATTCGTTACATTGCCCCCTTCTTAAAGACGTTTCGCCCCGAAATGTCATCCTTGGCGTGTGTCGAAACCTGCAGGACTCCCCATATCTGCACTGTGAAGTTCGATGGAAGTAACAATCCACA